CAGAGGTGATGATGAGCTCTTCATACCTCCTGGCTGGACAAGGGTATAGAAGGGGTGCAGAAAGAATTAGGCAGAGGGAAAACAGGAGCCAGTTGGGGAGTCATGGAGGGTCCAGCAGCTTGGAAGACTGTTCATTCTACTGTGACCTGGAGTGAGATCCTGACTGGGTGCAGAGCCTCTTTCCCAGGTTCAAACTCTAGTTTCGTGGCTACATTCTCATTCTCTCTCCTCTCTGTGTGTCTCCTTTCTTTCCTCTCTGTTCTCTACCTCAGTTGGGTGAATCAAGTCCTCCAGAAACTTCCAGAGAAAAGGTACATGAAAGGTGTATCTTTGAAATCTGGCATGTCTTTGTAATGTGCTTTTTCTTCTCAGTTAATAGAACTCAAGTATAGTATTCAAGCGTGAAAATAGTTTTCACTTGTATTATGAATGTGTTCCTTTTTGCTTTCAGTGCTAAGAAGCCTGACATGCCCCCCCCGCCCGACCCCCGGCCCCGAGAATATTTACAGAACACACACCCAGGGTTCCAGGCAGTCACAGTTGGCTCTGGAGATAGAGTTGTCACTCTCCCTGTTTTAGAGCGGAGGGTTTGTCCATGCTCACATGACAAATCCAGAGTCCTGCTTCAGTGAACTATTCTGATACTGTTCTTATTGGGAGCCCTTTTGTATGACTCTCCCTCCCTGAAAATGTTTAAGATTTTCTTTTATACAGCTATTTTGACGCTCACTAATGTACCTTGGTTTCACCTTTTCAGGTTTGTTGTGCTGTGTAGGTAGTAGACTCTTTGAGGATTAGATTTTTACAGTTGACTATGTATATTGATAATTTGTATACCTCTTTGATTTCATAACGTCTCTTCATTAATCTTGAAACACCACTTCCTTCAAGCTTCCCTGTTTCTAAACAACCAGTAAAGTCTCTTTACAAAGCCTGATCTCAGTCCAGTGTTCCCAGGTGAACATCCCGACCATCAGAGTTCCTGAACACAGCTGTTGTGTTCCTGCAGAGCCACCTTCAAGGGGGTACCCCTAGGAGTTTAGGATCTTGTGGAGAGAAATGGGCTTAGGAGAATGTTGTGGGTCAGAGTTTTTAAAACAAATTTTCCTCACAGGAAACAAAAGCAAGGGGTGCTGAGAAGAATGTGAGAACAGTGTGGGTACTGTCTACCTTTAGTCATTCCCTAGCCCAGATAGCTCTCATCATCTCCTGCTTGGCTTTGTTTTGCCTTAGTGCAGGACAGAGGCTCTTTCTGGTGCTCCAGCTCTGTGTTCAGTGTCTTTTGTGCATTAGTGACAAGGACATAATCTCACTGTGCTGTGAAAAGGATGAGGTGTGGAGATGGAAGACCTCTGGCTGAGCAGGTGCTTCCCAAGGCCCCTCACCCTAATCTCCTCCAGGGCAGGTGCGTGCCAGCAGGATGTGGGAACACAATCCGGCAGACTTCCTTCTCCCTCCACTGAACTGTCTGTGCCCCACCCCCACGAGAGAGAGAGAGAGAGAGAGAGAGAGAGAGAGAGAGAGAGAGAGAGAAACGGAAATACAGAAATAGACTAAACAAAATATACTGGGGCTATAATTTCTGGCTTTAGTTTTACTTGTCTCAATTTTCCTCAGGAGAAATGTCCAAAAATCCAGGTGTACTGAAACGCGAGTGCTCGGAGCTAAGGGAAAAGCATGTTTGGGTATATGATGCACCCACCACCCTCATGGGAGGGACACGCAGCTGAGGGGTCACGCATTGACAGGATGGGAGCTCTTCCCCCTGGGGCCAGCCTTGGGTTCTGCTGGGCTGTCGTGATGCCCAAGGTGGAGGTCGGCTTGCATGTGAAGAAACAAAAACCCCCATGTCGCAATTGTATAAGTGGATTCTGCGTGATCACTTTCTTAAACAGAAGAGTTTACTGGCAATTTTTTTAATCCTTTGAAATAATCACATTCATAGGAAGCAATCTAGTGGCCCTCAGGCAGGCACAGTCTGAAGGTGTATTTTGTTGGCCTTTAGAAATGAATTGGCTGCTACATTTTAAGAATTTCAGCATTTTCTGGAAAGTCTCCGATCTTCTTGCAGTAAAAAATAAGAAGATTTGGCAGAATAAGGCCTGTGGTTACTGCCTTAGACTCAGGTAGGCTGAGGTCTGTCCTGCCTGTTTTGACCCTAGGCATTTGCATTGACATCTGTTGCGCTGTCAAAGGGAAGCTATCCTAATTTTGAAAGTTAGGATTCTGTACAGATTTGTTCTCTAAGGAATAAAGCATTAGTGGGAGTAAAAGTAAATTCTGATTGTGTTTCTATCAGAAGTAAGCTGTTTCCCAAGCATTTTTTTTTTTAAGATATTGGTGTACACAGTGTCTTTATTTTATTTCTATGTGGTGCTGAGGATTGAACCCAGTGCCTAATGCATGCCAGGCGAGCACTCTACCACTGAGCCACAACCCCAGCCCAAGCATAATTTTTCTTTTTCTTTTTTTTCTCCCTGAAAGTACATTGGAAAATTTTGTTCATATATTGTTCTGACCCTCAAATAAGTCCATTTGCAAGTTTACCTTGGTAGGTAAGCCAGATCTATCATAAGCATAATACTATTTTCCCCCAATTACTTGCTCAAAATTTTGTAAGTCAATGTTCTCATAAAAGAAGTCTTCTTTATTACCCTGCCTATTCTAAGTTGAGCAGATTTTGGTGACACTGCCATTGGTACCTCTATTGCTAAGCACCCCATCCTAATGCTGCTCCCAGACTTCCTGGGAGGCTCCTTGTGGGTGGTCACTGCTGGCTAGCCAGTCGCCATTTGCAAGCTTGTAGCCTACCAGCGGGAGTGTGGAATATTACATCTTAACTTTGGGAAGTCTCCTATGTGGATCCTGAGTAGAGCTTCCTCTGTGCTGCAGTGCCTCAGGCTCAGGCCCCGAGGGATTAAGTGATTTACCCCCAGTCATTCTGCTAATTAGTAATGGAGCCAAGATTAGAGTCTAAGCCTGGCAGCACCTGGTCCTGAGTGCTTCCTCACTGCCTCTCTCTGCCCCCTCATGCCACTTCTTCCTGGCATTGCAATAGGGCAGGCATCTCTTTCCAGAATAACTGTGAATTTGTAGTAAGGTTTTGTTTCATTTCAAGATAATGTTTAACCTGTCAGTGAGCATAGTTCATGATTACTTTAGTCAGGGTTTGAGTTTTAGGGGTTGTTTGTACTCCTTTAGTAAGTTATTCCTGTACAGCTGTGTAGTTATATAACTTCAGCAAATTGGTGTTTTAGACATTCCATGAATATATTTTCATTCTAATAAGTAAGCTTGGTGGCACTGGACTTGACTAGGAAGTTTTTCATTCACAGAAAATAACTAGACATTTTCAAAATGTGTGCTTGTATGTCATAATTACTTAAACTGTTTGGGATTCATTTCCTGGCTTTTTGACAGTACTTAACAATAGGCACAAGGGGAACATTCATTTACTTTCACTAAGGAGTATGTTTTTGAAGTTCTCTCATGGGGTTCCACTTATTTAGATGTTAGATCTGATTTCCTTTATCAAGTCTTTGTTTCTCATTTCCCTTCTCAATAATATTCTCAAAATTTTTATTTATGTTCACCATTTTTTCTTGACAATTTGTTCAGTAAAACATTTGTTTGATGTTTTTCATCTTGTATTTAAACTTTTTTGAATAAAAGCCAATGTATTTGAGTGTAATTTTTTAAGTCTGACTGTTCCTTTTTCATCACATGCTCTTCTTGTTTTTATGGCTATGCCATGTTTGCTCTGAGTGTACTGTTTAGAGGTTTTGTTCTCCTTTTTTTTCTTTTTCCCCCAGTACTGGAGATTGAACCCAGGGCTTCATAAGTGTTTCATCACTGAACTACATCCTGAATAGTTATTTATTTAATTTCAAGGTACTATCATGATAAATTGCTCAGGCTGCCCTCAAATTTGCAGTCCTCCTGTTTCAACCTCATGATTAATGGGTTATGGGAGCATGCTGCTACACCCAGCTTGATTTTCTTTGTTCTTCTAAGTTTTCCTATTTTCTGCATTATCTCTCTTTCTTCTGGGAGTAATTTTTATTTTCCTTTTGGTTATTCTGTTTTTCCTGAGTTTCTTTTTAGTATTTTAGACTTTGCATCTATGTTTTGTCATCTTTGGTTTTCTGTGTTATGAGATTAAGCAATATTAGGTCAGACAGAAGTTTTCAGTACATTGGGAGTACTTGTGAGCAGACAGGTTTCACTCTAGAAAGGCGTGGGAACAGCTTTCCTCTGGGGAATTCCTGGATGTTCCATATGGAAAGCACCTAGTCTGTGTTCGCTGTCCTTGTGTGTGTGTGTGTGTGGGGGGGATTAAGTTTTTCGATTTCTGTAAACGGATCTTTGAATCTTTATGTTCCAACCTCATATCTCACTGCCCTGATCTTTATGCACCCAGGGTGGATTTAAATGGCACTGTCCAGCTGACCGTTGTTGTTTAACCACCAAATCTATTAACCATCCTTGCTTTTTATCTTTTCTCTATGCCTCACACAATATGCAAAGTAACATACAACTCTGACCTTGTAAATGGCATGATTCCAAGTGTTCTACACATATTTAATTACTCAGTCCTCATAACAAACTTAGAAAATAGTTGTCATTCCCATTTTGCAAGTGAGGAAACTGAGGCATAGAGGTTAGCATCACACAATCAGTGAATCTGTGTATCATTTGAAATTGTCAAAACTTCAATTTTAAGAACTGCTTTTCTCTATTTTAATACTATTGGAGTTGAGAGTTGATATACATGTGCTGAGTTATAATCTTGAACAGGATGCGCATCATGTGGAAGTTGACCCTATGGTGTGTGCCTGAAGCAACAGCTGTATATCCAGTTGATGTTTCCTGGGGCCAGGGCAGCCTGAGTCTGCTCTGCTGTCAAAGTGCAGTCAGTGCCATTTGCAGTGCTTGTGTGTACTATGTGAGGTGTTTCGGAACAACCTGAACAACCTTTTGAAATTCCTCTCCTAATCCAGGGCTAGATTGCATGGACCATGGATATTTACTTGAGTTGGAGACATCTGTCCCAGGTGGTAGACAATAGAAGAATGAGGATGACTTCAAGTTTCCAGTGGCTCTTATCCACATTTATTCTTTTATATCTAATGAATGAAGTAAATAGCCAGAAAAAGGGTAAGTAAACTAGACTTTTAGAGAATGAACAAACTGCATTTTAATTTAAATTTTGGCCATGAAGCAGTCTTGTGTCTTTGTTGATCCCTTAGATTTTTAGTGGCTTAGATTTTTAGATGCAATAATATTCATTCTTTTAGGACACAGTTCTTTGAGTTTTGACAGTGTGTGCAGTGATTACCTACTAGCTCCATCAAGGCAGGCACAGGCCCAGCACCCAGGAACATCCCGGGTGCCTCTGCTGTCAGCCCCTCCTGGTCCCACCCTGCCAACTCTGCTCTGTCTTCTCTCCCTAATTTTACTTTTTAAAGAATGTTATAAAATGAAATCTAAGTACATTTCATATGTTATTGGTATCCTGTTGAAGTATATTAAAAGTGTTGATGTAGCTGGGCCTGGTGGCACATGCTTATAATCCCAGTAACTTAAGGGGTTGAGGCAGGAGGATCACATGTTCAAGGCCAGCCTCAGCACCTTGGGCCTAAGCAACTTAGTGAGACCCTTCTCAAAAAAAAAAAAGAATGTTTATATAGGTATTACCCAGCATGTTTCTATGAAGAACATTATTATCCTGCTGCCTCATAGCTTCATTTTTATATTATTCCCATAATTAAGCAGAGATCTTTTTCCCTAAGGTCATTGATAAAATAACTGTATTATGATGATTACTGTTTATTTCTAAAGTGAGCACTTCTAATATGTTTTTTGTTTTATATAGCTTTATAATTTATTTTATAGTGACTGTCATGCCAAGTACATACAAAAACAAGAAAAAAATTTATGAGAGAACTCTGTAGTCAGGGGTGGAATACCATTTTTTACTGTATAGTCCTCCCACACATACCCTTCCCCTTTCTTCCCTTTTCCTCTCTCTCTCTCTCTCATACCTTCTTCCTTTCTTTTCATTTTTCTATGGGGTGATCTTTATCATCGTTTAATGTTCACGTATTCCATGATGTAATGTTATTGTATAGATGTGAGTAGGTGCTTTTAGGATTATAATCTTGAGTTGTTATTTTTCAGTTGTTTAATTAAACCTGTACATAAAAGGATTTTTCAGAGGCTCATATGATTTCATTACTGTTTAAAATTAACATTCTTTGCCACCATCTGAAGATTGGTTATGGGGTTCCTGGAGAGGATGGCTATCTGGTACCAGTGAAGTAGCCGGGTCCAGATGTTTAGGTGCTGCATCTGTGGACTTGGGAGCCACGTCTTTTTTTACCAAGATTTTATTTTATTTTTTTCAGTGTGGTTTTTGGACATTCAAGGAGTACTAGAATGCCCCAAGTCCATCTCTTGGTCCCAGCATCGAATCTACACTGTATTCAGTTGCTTCCTCAATTTCTCATAGTTTCCTGGAAGTAGAATTTTTGATATTGATCTAACCCCCAAATTGTCTAGAAGTTGGTCCACTTGTATTGTCTTTTAGTGTTCCCATTTTTTTTTTCACCAAAGCTTCAAAAGAAACCTGAAACCTGTGCCCACCCACGTCTGCACAGTTGTCCCTTACAGAGAACATGTGCCTTCTGCAAACCCATTTGCTTGAGTTTAAAATTGACAGTAACTCAATGTAGCTGAGTTACTAAGCATGTTCTGTGTTGTGTGTGCCCATGTACATGTGTCGTTTTTCTCCTTCTCCAGGGGCACTTCGTGATTTGAAGTGTGTAACTAACAATTTGCAAGAGTGGGACTGTTCTTGGAAAGCACCCCTTGGAGCCGGCCATGGTACTGTTTATGAAGTTTGCATTGAAGACAGGTAATGGAAATACTTAGATTAATTTATAAGTACAACTTACCGGTTCTTCATCTTTCATTTTAGAACATACAAGTTTCATTCTGGGTATTTTTAAATGATATTTAAATGAAGTTTCTTAAAAATTTTGAATCTGATGTTGATAAAGATAGAAACAAACCCTTCTAGCCAAAAGTTGGATTCTTTTCTTAAATCAATAGCAATTATGGAGCATATCTGCCGTGTGATGATCTGCTATGGGAAGTCTTACTAGTCTACCCCAAACCAGTGTCTAGCTATACAGGTTTAAGTTTGTGCCTAATAGAAAATGTCAGTCATAGTGGCTCAATACACTAGCAGTTACTCTTGTGAAAAATGCGTACAGTGTAGAACTGGCATAGTTGTTTGTGGCCATTGAAACTCAATCCCTCTTTGCTGTGCCACTTTGCTGTCTGGTTTATGGAACTCACGGTTCAAGGTGATGCTTTAGGAGCAACCTGTGTCTTATTCCAAGAAGCATGCAAGAATAAGGAGCACATAATTCTTGAAGAGACTTACAACAAGTCCCACAGAGTACCTCTGCCTACATCTCATTGGCCAGAACCCAGTCAGATGGCTGAGTTCTCCAGGAGGCTAGGAAGTAGCTCTCCTAGCTGAATGGCAGCATCCCAATAAACACTGGGTATGGGTTACTGAGGAAAAGGGAGAGGTGGACCATGGGAAGTGGAGGCAGGCTCTGTTATACCATATTACCCTCTTAAGTAATGTTAGAGTAGATGAGCTCTTGTGCTTGGAATGAGGCCCGTGGGGTACCCACACAATCCCAGCAGGATTCTGAGTTGTTAACAGTGCCAATGGAGTTCCAACAAGCCTTCTCTAGTCTCACTTTGCTAATGAGTAGTTCTCCTATAAATGGATGTAAATGTGTATTTAAATACAATCAAGGTTTTCCCCATTTTGTGTGTATTTGTTGAGCATTCTGCTAAGCTTTGGAGTAATTCACCAATCAAAATGAGCTAAATTATGTTGCAGATACAACTTGCAATTCTTAATTCCTCAGGAAAATACAGAGTTATTATTTTCTGCTGTGTTTTATTTCTACTGGGTATGGGCTGGGATGTCTACCCTGAGATTCTTTCTAAGAACCCCAGGTTGGTGATGGGAGAACAGAGGGGACAAGGCCTAACTTTTAAAGCTTTCTTCTAGAAATGACAGATGTGAATTTCACCAGGCTTCTCTGGCCAATTAAAGCCACATAGCCAAGCCTTACTGCAGAGTCAGAGATGACAGTCCTGTGAGTCCAGGAAAGGGAAATCCTGAATAGTTCAGTAAATAGCATGCTGAGAGGTTCAGTTCTGGCTCCCTGTGAGCTCACAGTAAACAGATAGTGACTGCTGTGTGGGTTCTGTGCCAACGGAAGTTACCTGAGGATGTGAAGGTCATGGAAGGGGGACCCCCAAGGAATATCGGGGGCACTGAAAGCATTTTGAAGGCAGCACCAATGAGGAAGTCTTGTTCAAAGCAACCCAGAAGCCAGGCCTGAGGAGTGGGCAGGTGAGGTGGGCAGTTTTACTTCATTCGTTGACCTCTGTTGCGCTCAGTCTTCGAAGGTGGTACTGGCTGGTCTGGTCTCAAGGGCTGGGTGCTTAAGAGGGTAGAGCATGCAGTAGGTGAGGCCCCAAGAGGCAGGTCAGGGTGAGATTTGAAGAAGTCATCTGTGCTTATTCACTGCACTTTCTGGTGCAGCCTGGTTATTTTTCCTGATAAAATTGCTATCAATCCCTCATTTTTCAGTATTAAAATGTGGCACAATCAAGTATATTTGAACACCAAAGAACATAAGGTATTTTTCACTGTTTTTTTGAAAATGGAACTACTAATTAAATCTAATTAAAAATGTTTCTTTTATTGCAGGCCCCGTTCTTGTTATCGATTAGAGAAAACAAACATTAGAATCTCAGCTCTTTCACCTGGTGATCATGAAATAAAAATAAATTCTCTACATGATCTGCAGAGTTCTATGAGCAAATTCATATTAAATGAAAAAAATGTTTGTAAGTATTTGAAAAGAAGATTGATTTTAAAGTAGAATGGGACCTTTGTTGGTACTGTGGTGCTTTGTCATTGACAGACACTTTTTGGTTCTGCGAATTTCATTTCTTAGGCTAATACTTTGACTTGTGCAGCAACCTTGCTGAGAATTATAGAGCACAGCTAGGATCAGGAAGGAAGCATACTTACCTTCTAGTCCAACAGAGTAGACCCCAGAACTGAAGGTCCTTCCCTCAGTGCAGTACCTTTTCCTTGGCTTCCTTTGCTCTTGATTCCTATACATCCCCTGGCATGTCTCAAATGCACCTTGCTCTAGACTCATCTTAGACCATCCCACTGGAGACTCCATTCCTTTCTTCGCATATCCTTGGGCAGGCTGTGCTTCTTTGTGGTGTTTTTTCTCAGTTCAGTTAATATTCCATTGTGTAATTAGGTATTTATCATGTGTCTCCTCTACAAGGAAATAGGGTCCATGAGGATAGGGACTTTGTCTTCTATACCAAGACTGCTGTCTGGAAGCAGGCATTTGTTACAAGCTTATTGATTCAGTGTCTCGGACATATGCTACCAGCAGATTGGTACTAGGATCAGGAATGCTGGATTAAAGACATCCCCGTTTGCAAAATAAATTCAGGCTGAGAGAGATGGACAGTTTGCTGTGCAACAGACTTTAAAATCCTGAGTATTCCTGTCTCTTAATGGGGGCAAGTGGGTTTGGCAGGTCCTGACAGCTGTGGTGGAACAGCAGCATCATGAGCAGCATCATGATATTCCAAGGAGTCTTTTAATGGTACTGTGATGAGTCTTGTAAGGTTGACTGACGTTGAAGTGAGAAAGAAAACAGTTTGGTGATTCGTCTAGTATTGTGGAATGGATGTATGTATGGAATGATCTATGTCAGAAAGAGCATAGGTTTTGAAAGAATAAGAACAAATATGCTGTCCAAGTACTTAGAGTCTTTCCTGTTTTCTGGTTGAAGTGTTGTCCACATAAAGTGCCACTTAAGCCATCCCTTAAGGTAAGAGAGATGAATCATGTATTATTTTCTTTCAACAGTTGGGAATATTTTCGGTAGGTCAGCCATGACCTCAATACCCAGAGAAACACTTTTAACACTTAAATACATTTTCTGTGCGTGTACATGTAACAGGTTTGTATTGATTTATAGTCTGCTTAACATAGACATTTAATAGAGTTCCAAGTTATTTCTGTAAACCCATGTTGTTGTTAATGCCTGCATAGTGTTCCATCAGATGGACGTGGCATAATTACTTAAAGAGCTCTGTTATCAACATTGATTTTTGTTTCCGGTTTATTAGTGTTATTACTAATGTTTTTTAAAAATATTATTTTTAGTGATGAACACAACATCTTTGTTTATTTTTATGTGGTGCTGAGGATTGAACCCAGTGCCTCACGCATATTAGGCGAGTGCTCTACCATGAGTTTCAGTGAACATCTTTTGTGTGTGTATGTTTGTGAATTTCTCTGATTTACTAGGATCAGGAATGCTGGATTAAAGATAGCCCCTTTTGTAAGACTCTTGATAGTCTTTGTCAGATTGTTCCAAAAACATTATACTTCTTTGCATTCCCACAAACTTAGAAGTATGCCTGTTTCCCCACATCCTTAGCAGGGCATTTATTTTTGCCAATCTAATCTAGTGACCCCAAATTATATCACTGTTGTTTCTTTGATTCTGTGATTAATTAAAGAAGAATTTGTCAGTTATATTATTTTCTGAACTGTCAGTTACAACTTTTCCGTAGCATTTGTCACCATTTTCCTCACTAGTTCACAGAGCTCTCCCTGTATTATTTGTTAATTGCCGTATTTGCTGCAGATTTTTTTCTGATTTAAAAATTTTAAAAATATGATGTTTTTCATACCATAAGTTTTCCTTTTTAATATGGTAGGATTGTTTGCTATTTGGGGGTTTTGGGTTTTGCTGACATGTTTGATTTAAATCTTTCATCCATCTGAAATTATTTTGTAGTCAAGTATGAGGAACCTGTCTACTCTAGATTTTTTAAAAATCCCTAGGATTTAAAAAATTTAAATAATCCAGATTGTGGTTATTTCAGAAGTAACCAAAGTCCTCATCTTGGAAGCCTCTTGATGGTGGTAGTGGTAATTAGAAAAGGTTAAAAAAGTAAATCAAGACAGGTTATAGGTGACACAGTCGATCGGTAGTTCATTGTTTCTTACATATCATGTAATTTATTAGTGGCACTTTAATAAATAATAATAATTTAATAAATAATAATAATAATGGGCCCAATGATAGTTAGAATAATGGTATTGGGATAAGAAAATTTAAAAGCAAATTAGACAAACATAAGCTGGAGAAGTAGATGCGTGTCTTGGTCTGTTTGGCCTGATGTAACAAAATACCTTAGACCAGATAATGTGTGAACGTCAGAAATTTCTTTATAGATCCGGCTTCTGGGATGTTCAAGATCAAGGTATTTGTAGATTTGGTGTCTGGTGAGGACATGTTCCTTATAGATGGCGTGGGAAGGGGTGAACAAGCTCCCTTGGGCGTTTCTTATAAGGCAAAGGCAGAGCCCTTGTGACTTTCACTTCCCAGAGGCCCCTCCTCATAGCACCTTTCCCCTTGTGGGTTAAGTTTCAAGAGTTTGGAGGGGAGTTCAGACAATAGCCGTGCATCAGCAAAACTTTGAGCACCTGTTGAATGTGATGACAATTTTAACTTGTTTTCTAGAAATGGTCATGTAGCTGGTCATTAGAGGATCTAGATTATTTGCTGCTAAATGAAAGCATGAGAAATTAAGTTTTCTCCAGGTGTAAAGATGGTTTCAAAAGTTTGCTTACTAAGCAAGCAAGGTTTTATGAACACTCATATCCATAGAATAAATTTTGTATTTCCCAAGGGAAAGGATAAAAAAGACTTTGTAAGACTTCTGGTGTCGCTTTTCTTAAAATAATCTGAAAATTTGGGTCACTCTGAGCAGGATAAATGTGGATCCTAAAAAAAAAAATCTAGGAAGACTCTTGTCTCCTAATGTTCTAAGGAAGACAGACCATGTAGGTTGTAAGTAAGCTGTTCTAGCTTTTAACAATAAATAAGACTTTCATTAAATTTCTTTCTGTATAAAAGTTCTGAGTTTCTAGAAAACAAGTTAAAATTGTCATCAAATGCCTATTTTAGCTCTACAGAAATGCAGATGACAATTCATTGGGAGCTTAGGGGAAACTTCCATGTCTGCTATGAAAAAAGGAAAGGAATAGTGGGATTTTAAATTCTTCCATTTGTAATCATGGCTGTTATCATTTAGCTTGAAATATTGAATATGACTTGTGTTTTGAAGCCTCCCTTACTCTACTAAAGTGTAAGTTATGTGGACTTTTTAGGGAGGGGAGCATTTTTTAAATAATTTTTTTAAGCTATAGACAGACAAAATATCTTTATTTATTTATTTATTTATTTTTATGTGGTGCTGAGGATCAAACTCAGTACCTTACACGTGAGGCAAGTGCTCTTTTACCACTAAGCTACAACCCCAGCCCGGAGGGAAGCATTTTAATGGATTAGCCTTGCCTCAGCTAAATAATAATCGAATGTTTCATACTATTTAAGTCACTGCATTGTGACGTCTCTAGCCTCTGGAAGAAGAGTGTGCTCCTGCAAGCCTCTTGTTCTCTGGTCATGCTGGCACCTGAACTTTCCCTCATCTGGCACTAAGTTAAACTTCTTGCTTCTCCCTGCACACTTTTTCTTTTTCACAGACACCTTCCCACTTCAAGCTTTTCCTACAAAGCACCCCCACTGTTGACTTTGTTGTATAGTTTAGACTTTAAAGTCACATGTTGTAGGTCTTGTAGAGCCGTACACATTTAATACAGATCCAGTGTAGAGCACCCTGTAATGCAAAATTTAGTAAACTTATTTTTAAGTTCCAGAACTGATTAATTTATAATGATTTGTATATTTAATATTCACCACACTGAGCTACCCTAACCATGTACTCTCCTGCAGTTTGGCACTTGCAGTGACTATTTATTGGCCCTTGAACTTCACAGGGAATGACTAAAGTGAGGTAAGAAAGGACACACCTCTGGGTTTCTTCCAGTGTACTTTCATCTTACTGTCGTTTGAGGAAGAAACGTGCAAGAGAACCTAAGACTCTCTGCTGCTCACATCTGACAGCCTGCATTTCATGGCACAGGACACACTCATATCTTGTTTTCCACTGATCCAGAAGTTCCCATAATTACCCATTCCTTAAGAGTAGGAAAATGTGAAGATTTTCCAGATGCATTACTCTTTCTACTATCTCTTTTCAGCACATGATGCACACCCCAGGTCTTGAGCACACTGTCTCTTTACCTTCTGCAATTGAGCAGAGAGCTTGTGGCTCTTTGCTCTGGTCCTCCAGTGTGAACTTTTATTTGGCCTACCTGTGTCTTTTTGGCTCAGTGATCCTAGATTTTTTCTGGTTTCCTTTGCTTCTAGATCATCTCCTATGTGTCCTTGTGGGTGTGTCTGGTTCCTTGAAGGTATAATTGTCTATCAGCAGCCCCTATGTTGAGCTCTGGTTGTTACATGTCTGTGTGTTTGTGTTTCTGAGTCTACTCTTCTAGCCCCAGTGTTTGCAGAGTTCTCTGCCCATGCCTCTTCTTCCTGGACACTTTGTCAGCCATAGCTGGTCTTCTGTGTTTCTTCACAATAGTTCCTGATTCCTTTTGTCTTTCTTGGAACCTTGAGTGAAATCTTGATTATTTCTTTTTCTTATTAGAGCAAATCTTCATTTCTATGATCCAAGCATTTCTTTGAAATGCCCAACAGATTTTTTCCTTTTGTTTCCATATTTGTCACTGTAACCAATAGGTCTGTTACTCTAGCCAGATTTCTCCAATGGCCTCCTCATGGACTACCATATCACTCTTGTCTCAGACCCTGGCAGAATGTGGCATATAATTGCTAAAGCACCAACCTTTCTTTTATTTGGCCAACCCACGCCCTGCGCTTCTGCACTGTAACCCATTGCCTGCTTATCTCAGTGCCTTGGTCATTGTGCCAGCCTTCCTGCTATTGAGTGATATCCATGACTGGGAATGGCTCATCAAATTCTGTGAGCATCCCCTACACGGTGGACTCTGACCCTGGAAGATGAGTGAGAAGACAGCGAGAAAACATGCAGAGAGCTTTCTCAAAGTGAGCTCCCTATATTTTGTCTCTTCTTAGGCCTTATCTACTGCCACACGAAGGAAGGACTTTTTTTTTAATATATACTTTTTTATTTATTCCTTTTAGATATACATGTTAGTAGAGTGTATTTTGACATATTATACATACACAGAGTATAACTTATTCTAATTAGGATCCCATTCTTGTGGTTGTACATGATGTGGAGTTACACTGGTCATATTTTCATATAAAAACACAGGAAAGTTATGTCTAATTCATCTACTGTCTTTCCTATTCCCATATCTTCTCCCTTTCCTTCATTCCCCTTAGTCTAATCTAATGAACTCTTCTCTCCCTCTCCACCTTACATGTGTTAGTATCCACATGTCAGAGAATATTCAGCCTTTGGTTTTGGGGATTGGCATATTTCACTTAGCTTGGTAGTCTCCAGTTCCATCCCTGATAAATGCCATCCTTTCTTTCTTCTTTAAGGCTGAGAAATATTCCATTGTGTATATACACCACATTTCTTGATCTATTTATCTGTTTTTTTTTTTTTTAAATGGTGCTGGGCGTGGAACCCAGAGTCTCCCTCATGAAAGGCAGGCACTCTACCACTGACCTCCACAAATTTTTAATTCTTGATTACTTTTTATCTAGGAGGAATATAATTAAAAATTGTTGATTAATAGAAGTATAATATTAAAAATCATTGGTTATTTATTCAGTTTTCTCTTCTGTTTCCCTTTTTTTAAAGCCTTAGTTCCAGACACTCCCGAGATCTTGAGTTTGTCTGCTGATTTTTCAACATCTACGTTACACCTCATGTGGAATGACAAGGGCTCTGTTTTTCCACATCACTCGAATGTCATCTGGGAAATTAAAATTCTACGTAAAGAGAGTATGGAGCTTGTAAAATTAGTAAGTTTAAACAAAAATAGTTTTTTTCTTATGATGTTAAGGAAACGGAATGATTTTTTAAAGCATTTTTAAGGTGGTATCAATTTATTGGTGGTACCATTGGTTTTTTTACATTATTAAGGAAATAGAGCAGATTTATTTCAGCATTTGTTAAAAACCATATTCTATGATTCATAAATCACTTGTATTACCAGTATAAAAAGTTCAGGAAATTAAGGGAAGAATACTCCCTTGATCAAGTGTGATGCTTCCACTTGAACACAATAAACAGTATCTTCATCTGCTCCTTCCTGTCTAGCTGCTTTAATATACTATCTTTTCATAAACAAAAGGATAGTATGCTTGTAATTCAGTCTGTTTTTTTATCTTTATGGAATAAAGATGAATGTTTTGAACATATCTGGCCATATAATAATTGTTGAAAAATAAATCAACCTGAATTTACCAAAACCTGAAATTATATATTTAGAACATGCTTTTTTCTATTTTTAATCCTGTTTATGAATGTTTTTTTAATGATCTACAATTAATTGGCTCTTAACCTAAGAGGCAATTAAGAATAGTTATGAAAAGTGTGACAGCTGCTATGTGGATACTTGAATAAGAAGGATGCTCTTTGAAGTGTGAGTGAAATCAAACATAGATGAAGGAACTCTTCTGTTCTAAATTGGTGCAACTCATTACCACAAGACACACAACAAGTTGGCCATAATAAGGAAGCAAAATTTCCCTAATTTAGGGAGAAATGTTTGCATGAGAAAATAATAGCAAAGGCCAGAATATGAGGACAGAACAAATTAATTTAAAATAGTGAAGTAAAAGAGGAAAAATGCCCAGGTAGGTCCATAGTAGATATGTGACATTTTTATTTATAATAATGTGTTACTGATATCATTATTTAAGTCAGAATTGCTACCACAAAAAAATAGCATCATAATGTGCTCCAAAATGAATGCTGTCATTTAAAAAATATTTTTAATTACAAATGGACACAATACCTGTATTTTATTTATTATTATTATTTATTTATGTGGTGCTGAGGATTGAACACAGCACCTCACACATGCTAGGCAAGCGCTCTCTACCACTTAGCCACAACCACACCCCAAATGTTGTCATTTTGTAATAGTTTAAAAATCAAGAACCCTGGGCATTAGTGTTTCATTGAAGGCACTTAACTACCTGTCGCCTCTGTGCACAGCCGGGAAGCCTGCCACAGAGGACCAGGGCAGGCTGGAGGGATGCCTGGCGGCCAGCCACCCCTCCCACACATTCCCCTTGGCTTTTCCTGGAGAGAAACTATTTCTACTTTTTATTTAATTGATTTTATTTTTTAAAATACACGACAGTGTAATGCATTACAATTCTTTTTACACACATAGAGCACAATTTTTCGTATCTTTGTATATAAAGTATGTTCACGCCAGTTCATGTATTTATACGTGTACTTTTTAAAATTTCTACTTTTTTAACTGATTCATTGATTATTTTTCTCCGGGTAACATGATATTTATTTTTTATTTATTTGTTGTTTTTATTTTAGTATTGAGCAATGTTTTATTAACTGCCACAAGGAAGATGAAAATTCAGTCCTCTCACCTTCCACCTCAGTTACATTCTCACATTCTGTCTCTTCTCTGCCTCTCTCTTTTTATCCCCTTCCCCTCAGTTTGCCAACTTCTTCCAATATGGTTCTGTTGTAATTTTTGTTAGAATAATATTTATTTTGTTATGGTTATACAAACACAATTTGCAGTCTCTTTTTTTTAAAATAGAACTTGTCTTTTTTTTTTTTTTAGTTGTGTTTCTTAGATTAATTAATTCAATCCTCAGTTCTCTCCAGGTGGTGTAAATCTTGAAACTTTTAAATATGCCAGGGATTTTGTCAGTTTATGTTTGTGCATAAATCTGTCTGAGCATCTCTAACTGGATTTCCAGTGTTTTTCACCTAAGGGCTCATGTAGACACTGTTGATGTATAGCACAGAGTATAACTGAGGCTGGTGGCCAGACGTGTCACAGGGCTCCAGCAGCCTCAGCTCCTATAGGCAACCCTAGGTTTGAAGTGATACCCATAATGCAGTGAAGTCAGAACATGGCATCTCTCAGCTCATTCGTTAGAAAGCTATGAGGCAAGGGTCTCCAACATCATCTGGATTGTTCTTTATACCGTTTTCTTGTTATGGATCCTCTTTTTCCTTCATTTCCTGTCTGTCTCTTATTTCTGCATATTGGTAAAAGCATATATTTTAGTATCTATTTGCTGTTGTAGATACTTCCTGTTGTCTGTACTAACTAGCTTGCAGATATAATTTATCTTCTTAATTTAGCTTTCAAAAAGCTTAAAAAGTCTGTCCATTACTATAATTGAGAAGATGCAGGACAATTAGAACTTTCATATATTACTATCAAGAGTTTAAAATGATACAAGATAGAAACATTGGTATTTCTGAAATGTGTTTAGTCTGCATTCATGTGTGATTGTTAGCTTTTCTAGGTATAGAATTATAGGTTGAATAATTTTGTCAAGATTTTGGAGGCATTGTTCCCTTGTTTCTTCTTAAGGATGCGTCTTCATTAATTATGCTCTACACTCCTTGGGCCCCTTTTAGTCTAATTTGTCAACTTGGGAGCTTTTCTTGTTTTATTGCTTTGATTTCTTTTTCTTTGGTTTCTCCTTTTTTTTTTCCTTGGAACTTACATTTTTAGAAATTGGACCTTCCAGGCTGATTTAATTGTCTTACTTTCCTGTTTTCCATCTGTTTTTTGCTTCATTTTCTGAAAAAACTTTTCCTAAACTTTTTCTTGCAACACTGCTATTAAATTTCTAATAATACATTTTTAATTTGTAAGAGATGGCTTTTGTCAAAGAATCTGATCTCCCTGCCCGCAGTGAATTCTGTTTTTATTTCATGGGTAGAGTATCTTTTCTTATCTCTGAGGATGTAAGTGATTTGATTTTTTTTTTTGCCCATACTGTTTGTTCAGGTTACTATTTCTCTTTGTTTTGATTTTTAACTTTCATATTAGAATTGTTTGTATTTTGATAGGCACCCTGGTTGCTGCTCATATTTATGTGAAGACTCAAAAAAAACCACACCATTTTTGGGGGGAAGAGTCCTGGGGATTGAACCCAGAGGCACTTAACCACTGAGCCACATATCCAGCTCTTTTTATTTTTTTGAGAAGGCATCTTGGTAAGTTACTTAGGGCCTCATAAAGTTGCTGAGGCTGGGCTTGAACTTGCAGTCTTCCTACATCAGCCTCCCAAATCACTAGGATTAATTAAGGTGTGTGCTGCCACAACTGCTCAAAAAAATTTTTGTTTGGAACTTTGCTTTGCTTATAGCGGACTCACTGACATATTGGGTAATAGGGTGAGCTAGCTTGATGGCAAACTCCTACTATTATTTTAGCTATTTTATCTTAATCTGTTCATATACCCACACAGATTTGTTTAGACTTCTAAACAAATGGTGAGTCTTCATCTGGCTGTCAGTATCCTGGGAACTGAATAGGGACAATGAGGCAGGCACAGTTTAGCAGTCCCATTTTTGGTATGGCATTCCCCAATCTCAAGTCTTCCAAGATCCCTCAGTCAAGAAGTATTCTGTTCTACTTTTCCAGAACATAAATCTCTCTTCTGCTGCCAGAGTGAACAAAGGTAGTCCTCCTTGAGACTTAATATTTAGCTCTCTTAGGTCTTCTAAGTCAGTTGCCATCATCTATCTGCTTTCCAGCTTCCAAAATTTTAGGGTGTTACTACGTTTTCTTTTCTTGTGTGTGTGTGTCTGTGTATGGGTGTGTCATTGTACATCTATCACTTTTTTTTAAAAAAAGTCTGTTTTCTCTTATTTTAGAAATATTTCAAGAGGTAAAACAAAGGAAAATCTACTTTTAACTGGAATTCCTAATATTCTTCCAGTAGATCTTTAGTTAAATGAATAATGATTATTCACTAACAATAACAGTAACAATAATGGTTATTGTTACTCATATTTTCCTTTTGTGCCTTACAGAAAACTGAAAGTTTTACAAAAAGACCACTTACTTTCTTATTAGATGGTTATTATATACAATCGATGGTGTTGTTCTGATCCTAAGGAAAGCAGAACATATCAGTCCTTGGCAGTACAGTTTTGCTTGTATTTCTGTCCAGGTAACATACAACACAACTCTAAGTGGTAAAGATGTCATTCGTCACTGGAGCTGGACCTCGGACATGCCTTTGGAGTGTGCTACTCATCATGTGGGAATTAGATGCTACATTGACTATCCTCTTTTCTCTGGTCGCAAAGACTGGAGTGACTGGAGCCCAGTGAAGAACATCTCTTGTAAGCTCGTATTTGAAAATTTGTTTGAAATGCATTAGATTTCTCAAGGGTAAGGTTTAGTTTACGAATTCAGTTCTTTGAACCCCAGTGGCTTCAGGAGGTTCATTTGGGGAGCTTCCAATCCTGACATCCCAGGAGATCTAGATTGGAAAAGTCTGAGATAGATTCCATGAATCTACTTTAAAATTATTAGGAAATTCTTTTAAAGTGATCAGATAAATATTAATATTTGAAAGTCACCAACATAGGCATTGAAGAATAAAAATTGTATGTTGGTGGAAATGAGATCAAAGTCTATATTTTTAAGAAATGGTTCCCAATCTTTGGTCCACAGAACAGATCCATGCAGGCTGCTAGTTATTGTAGGGAACAAGGGAAACTGCAAGCATACCAAAAATCATCTGTACATCAAATTCATGCATAGGTTGAATGTCATTAAGATAGAACAGGGCCAGAAATTTTATTAACAGTAAAATAAAGTCCTGAAGAGAGGTGGTAATCATTGTGGGTAGACCATTCTAGTGACAATATGGAGAAATGAATCAGAGCCAGGAAAGTAAGTAAATAAGGAGAAATTGGGGCAGTTGAACAAAAGACAATGAAAATGTAATCTGGGACACTGGGGTTTAGAAAAGAAAAGGGGGAAAGGTGTGAAAACACTGAAGAGGCAAAATTGGTTTGGGGCAGCTGAGTGGCTCACGGTACCATTCACTGACACAGAAAATGTATAAACAAATTAGTTGGGAAAGAAAAATTTGTTTTTAATATGTTGAGCTTGAGGCACTGAAGCATCTGGGTATCAGGGCCTCACAGGCAATTGGAAAGATAAGTTCAACATCCAGATGGGTTGGTGCAGCTGGGGAGGCCTGTTGGGGAATCATCAACACATATGTGATGTGAAATTAAGATGATTTAGGGAAAGATAATGGGGACCAGGGACACATCCTTTAGAGTTCTTGCGTCTGGGACAGAGGAAGGCCAGGAGCCAGAGGATTAAGAAAAGCACAGTAGCCCAGAAAAGTACAGTGTTAAGGAGCCTAAGAAGAGGGAATTTGAGAAGGAAAACTTTAGACAGCATACCAGATACCCTGGAAGTTGAAGGAAAAAGATGACTGAGACCATTGGATTGAACAGTGAGGCCACTGAGCCATCTATTAGAACTGTGGGGTAGAAGCCAGACTCTAGTAGAGTGAGAAAGGAGAATAGACTGGCTACTTGAGGGAGTGGTATGGCTTTAACCTACAGAGCTGGAATTAAAGAAAAAATAATTTTAGGATGTGGAATATTTGATCATGTTCAGGCTGATGGAAAGTAAGAAATCTGCCCTAAATACAGAGAGTAATTTCAAAGGAATGGAGTTAGTGATTTGGGAGGGGGGTGTGCATTTATTGTGTATGTATATAAACCCAATGAATCTGAACTTTTAATTTAATTAAACATTAACCTGTGACTTAGACATTGGCCTTGGTCCACTTCCGTCTTCAACCACTATCCTTTCATAAGTGAAGAAAACCACAGTTTTATTCTATCCTTGTATATGTCTTGCTCCTTTCAAACCTGCATGATAGAATTTATATTTTGGCCAGCATTATTCCAGAATACCTAACAAATATGTTCTGCATATAGTGGGCTATTTAAAAAATCATCTTGGGAAAAATTTTAATATAGAGACTATATATAAAAAGTATATCTAAAATATTGAATTCCTTTTGTTTTTTCTAGGGATTCCTGATTCTCAGACGAAGGTTTTCCCCCAAGACAAAGTGATACTTGTAGGCTCAGACATAACATTTTGTTGTGTCAGTCAAGAGAAAGTCTTAGTAGCACAGATTGGTCATAAAAACTGTCCCCTTATCCGTCTCGATGGAGGAAATGTTGCAATTGAGATCCATAATATTTCTGCTTCTGCAAATAGTGGAACAAATGTGGTTTTCACGACAGAAGACAACATGTTTGGAACAGTTGTTTTTGCAGGATGTAAGTATATAGTATTAAAGAGAGACTTTCCATTAACTTGTTTTGGTCCTCTGGGAGGCCTTAATTCCTTTTGTACAAGATGATTCTGTTTTGCTCTTACTTCTTTGTTCTTTAATATTAACAATTTACAAAATCCCTAGAATTCTTGCCTGTTTTAAAGCATTTTCTAAGTTTGTTTCCTCTAGAACTATTTATATTTAACATGTAGATTTTGCAGTAAGATGTGAAATAACTAACTGCTAATGTTTAACTTCTTAGCAGCTTTGTTGATTCAGGGGTCCTCAGTATATAGTAGTTCTTAATCCTACATTGCTTAGGAATTATGTAAGTTAATTTTCCACCAATTCAAGTCTAACCCTTTTAAGTACATAAATTTTAAAACTAGGATTTGACACAAAATCTTATAATAACAGAACATGTCTTCTCTTTTTATTTTTATTTATTTGGTATTTTTGCAAGCTGGGGATTAAATCCAATCCCTATTCATTGTTAGGAAAACACTTTACCACTGAGCTACATTCTCAATGCTTCTCTAATTTTTAAATAACATGTTTGAGGAGAACAGAGTGGCCATCGGATAGGATCGCCATGTTGTGTCCTGTCATTCAGAGTTACTGTTAGTGACATGCTTGCTCCTACAATCTAAAATTCTATATTTCTAGAAGTTGTGGTGGTGGACTATCCTACCTAAGTGGCTTGGGTTGTGTGTTCGGAATTCTTAGTTTTGACTTTAGGGATTTTTCTGCTTCCTCCCTGTGGCTTCACCTCCAGAAGCAATTCCTTTTTTTCCTGCATTTGGAATAATCAATCCTTGAGTTTCATGTAAGGTCTCATGAATAAAGTTGTGAAATGGATTGAGCAGATTTTATGATGATTCTTTAGACTGCTTAGTGATATTTCTTTTACTCTTTTATGAATTTTGTGACAAATCACATTCGGATGCTGATGTAGAGTCCCAAGGGAACAGCAAGATTAGGTGCATTTTTCAATTCGTGGTGAGCCTTACTCTCTTTTTATCTTCCCAGTAGTACATTTTGAAATTCCAGGGAAACTGAGGTTCTATCCAGATATAATTTTTATAAAATTCTACTTTCTTTTCCAAGGGAACTTTAGGAATTACTTGCAACATTTCTAATGAATGATCTTGGTGTCTAGGATGAGAACCTTTGATAAATGCAGTGAAATTGCTTGATAAGAGATAACAAAAAGTGAGCTGTACACTTAAAAGTATGAATGAAAGGTTGAAACTTTAAAAAGATGAGAATATGTACTCTTTCCACTTTCCACTGGTGTTATTTCAGACATCGTTTTAATCTTTTACCTTAATAAGCCCTTTTAGTTCATAATTTAACCTTCATTTATAACATCTGATGGTTGAAATATTGTGTGGTATTTGCCAGCTCAGAGCCAGTTGTAGCATTTCCCTCTGGGGTAGCCCTGCAAAACCTACCAGAGCAGGTTTTGTTGTAAATTAGGGATCAAGATTTAGTTATTTTCTTTCCCCTATGGATTGCCTTTTAACCCAAATTTATTAAAAAGAATTTTATAATCATCTTGTTAAAGTCCCCATGAACACACATAGACAATCAAAAACTGCTAGAATTTTTATTGGAATTACATTGAATATATAGATTAATTAAGGAGAATTTTAATTTTTACAACATTGAGTTTTCTAAATCATGAACATGGTATCTCTATATTGATTTATCTTAGTGATATTAAATCTTATATCTTTTGCTAAATTTATTTCTATATGCTTGATGTATTCTGCTGTTACTAGAAGTAGCTTTGTTTTTAAGTTTTCATTTTATGTTTGCTGGTATATAAAAATACTTTTACCTAACTGCATTTGATTCTTTTATAAATTTACTCCTTCTGTCTTTCCTTCTGTTTCTTTTTAGTTACATTATTTGAATTTTTAGTATTTCAACTTAATATATATACTAAATACTAGAATATCATTTTAAATACATTCTAGATTTTTGGTGTGTGATTAAGTTGTTGAAAGTTTGACCTTACACTTAAAACAACTTTTGGAATAGATGTCAGTATTCAATTGTTAAACTCTCAATAAACACTCATTAGTCCTCTTGATGTTAAAATGTCATCAAAGGACTTTATTCTTATCTCTATGAAAAATATGTAAATTTTTCTAATTTAGGTTAATAAACTAAAAAACTTTTAAAATTTTGGTTTTTTAAAAAATAAAATTATTTTACAGAATATTTTTACAATAGGTAGTTGTTTTTTAAAAATACTTTCACCTAAAGTGACAATAGGAAATACCAGTTAAACACAATTATAGAAATATCCATTTCTGTAATACCTAATGTCAGACTATAGCATTTTCATTTATCACTGTAACATTCTCACAAAACAAACAAAACTGCCTTTTTTCCTTTTCTAGTCCTGCCCCAGCAAAACCGGGAGAACAATTTTTATAACATGACTTAGGGTGACTTTTAATGTACTTAGTACTTCTTTTCAGTTCACAATATACAGATGATAAATGATGATAATTTAATTTTTCCTAACTTGTTGGATACATATTTCTTTGAGAATTTTGGTAAACTCTGAAATAGGACTTAAGGAAAAAAGTGATGATTTTGTTGGGAATTTCTGAATGAAGAGGCACTTTTTGGTTTACCTTAATCCATCATTTCTCATGTTACAGCAGGATGAAGATTCCTGTATTGTTCAGTTGTAAAATGAAAATAGTAAATTATTTATTTTTTAAGGAAATAGTGCGCACAATGTCATTAACATATTATAGAACATTACATTTTCAGCAAAAAAAATATATGTAATTGTATGTAATACTTTTTTTCCTCTTTCTGTTAGATCCACCTGATAGTCCCCAAAATCTGAACTGTGAGACACATGATTTAAAAGAAATTATATGTAGCTGGAATCCAGGAAGACCGACAGCATTGGTGGGCCCTCGAAATACCAGTTACACTTTATTTGAAAGGTAATGGTAGGATGTCATCTGGTGGATGTGACATAGGGAAGTGTTCTGTTTTATTCCTATTGTGAGCAAGATATGAAACTGAATATGCCATATAAAATTGTATGTACTGTAAAAACTGTAGCATAACCACATATAGGTTCAATGTCATGTCTCTTAAAGTCTAGATGGAAGGACCCCCAGATGTGATCAGTTTTTTCCTGGGTTATTTGGCCAATTATTTCCTATAGTATACACAGCTTCTCTGAGTGTATAATATATCCTTAATTAGAAAAATAAACTTTATGTAAAGAATAATTATTAGAAACTTGCTTATTCATTTTTTTCCTGCAATATTTATCTCTTTTAATTTATAGTTTTTCAGGAAAATATGTTAAATTTAAAAGAGTTGAAGCACTTACAAATGAAAACTATCAGTTACTCTTCCAAATGCTTCCAAATCAAGAAATATATAATTTTACTCTGAATGCTCGCAATCCTCTGGGGCGATCGGCATCTTCAATATTAGTTAACATAACTGAAAGAGGTAAGCTATGGCATCAACCAGTGTCTTAAAAATAATTAAGAAGTAGTTAAGTGCCTTGGTGTTAACAAAAATACTTCTAGGGATTACCAATTATTTAGAGTTCCTCAATTTTACAATTTTATTTTAAGAGCTTTAAAATTAATAATTTCTCATTTTACACGTTATTGACTTTAAAAATAAATTTGAATTAGACATTTTAAATAGAACCTAGTTTTGTCTAAGAGTTCTTGATTTCTGAAAAGTTGTTTGCCCAATTTTTAAAAACTTTTATTTTAAAATAATTTTTGACTCACAAGTTGTTGCAAAATTAATGAGTTAGAACCTTTCGAAACTTTCCCCTGACTTTCCCTAGTGGTGGCATATTACATAACCAGTACAATATCAAAATCAGGAATTCAACACTGGTATAATACTCTTACGTAGACCACTGAACTAGACTACTCACCTTGTGCAGTTTTTATGTTATTTATTTATCTGTGTGTGGGGGTGGGGGAATCTGTGGCAGTTTATCCCTGTAAAGCTTCAGGTAACCACCATCCCAGTGAAGATTCAGAACTGCTCTGACACTACAAAGACCTTTCATGTACACACACAAACACTTAGCATCCCTGTCCTTTACAACAGCTGACTGTTCTTTATCTCAGTTTTGTCATTTTGAGAGTGTTATAAAAGTGAAATAATACAGAGTGTAACCTTTTGAAATTGGCTTTTTTTTACTAAGGATTAGAGTTAAATCCTGGAGATTCATCCACATAGTTTTGTTATCAATAGTGATGGTTTCTGAATTTTTACCATCCTATGAATAGATAGCTTAAAATAGACATAAATTATTGATGTTGGCATTTATTCCTGAGGTCACTCCATGTGCATTAGCTCCATGCCAGGTATATAATCTGCTGAGCAGGGCACAGAGACCTTCTTTTAGGGACTCACAGTCAGGGGAGAAAGGGCTTCAATCACGTGCATTATCAGATAGCCTGGCTAGTGATGGGGACGATCCTGTTGCCTTATTTGCGAATATGAGTCAGATTTATTCACTATTTCTTCCTGTCACTTTTATTTCCTGATTCCTTCTACGATTGAAAGGCTACATTTTGGAGTTGAATGGTAGTGTTTGTATTTGTTTGCCTTTTGCCATTGCAACCTTATATCCCACATAATTCTTTCCCACCACTCATGTTGGCCTATATGTGATCATCACCATGATGTGTGAGGTTCTTAATGTGCCTTCATTTCTGCAAAAACCCCATCCTGAAAGGTTTTCTACATCTCTTCTGCGGGTTTTACTCAAACGCTCCATGTGAAGCTCACCTTACATCCTACCTTCTTTGTAAGACTTCTCCTTCTGTTGTACATTTAAATCCCTGTGGCTCCTGACTTTTGTACCATGCATCTAGGGCCTACCATTTTTGCTCTTGTCAGGTTTTTTTTTTTGTTTGTTTGTTTATCATCCTTCCATGATGTACATTAGAAATTCCTTAAAGGTAGAAACTGACCTTACCAACTTTTAGTATCCTCAACACCAGCTGAAGAACCTTGAGTGTGCTTGGTGATTAAAAAATGTTGATAATAATGTCAGCAGCAGAAGTGAAATTTATGCAGAAAAAGTGAAAATTATGCAGAAGTGAAATTTATTATAATTTCAAGCAATGAAATTGAAGATGCTGTCAAAAGCCTACCAAAAAAGAGAAGCTCACACGACCAAATGGATTCTCAGCCAAGTGCTACCAGACCTTCAAAGAAGAATGAACACCAATCCTTTTCAAATTATTACAAGAAATAGAAAAGGAGGGAACCCTTCTAAACTCATTCTATGAAGTTAGTATCACCCTGACACCCAAACCAAAGACATAGCAAGGAAAGAAAACTTCAGACCAATATCCCTAATAAACATAGATGCAAAAATTCTTAAGAAAATTCTGGCAAACCACATACAAAAACATACTAAAAAGATAGTGTACCATGACCAAGTGGGTTTCATTCCAGGGATGCAAAATTGGTTCAGCATACGGAAGTCAATAAATGTAATTCCTCACATCAATAGATTTAAAGACAAGAATCATATGATTATCTCAATGGATGCAGAAAAAGCATCTGACAAAATACAACACTCCTTTATGTTCAAAACATCAAAAAACAAAACAAAACAACAGCAAACAAACAGGGATAGTAGGAATATACCTCAACATTCTAAAAACTATATATGCTAAACCAAAGACCTCTAAAAACTGGAACAAGATAGGGATGCCCTCTTTCACCACTTTCATTCAACATAGTCCTTGAAATCCTTACCAGAACAATTAGGAGGGAAAAACAGGATTCAAATAGGAAAAGAAGAACTCAAACTATCCCTATTTGCTGGTGACATTAATCTATATATAGAAGACCTAAAAAAAAACTACCAGAAATGTTCTAGAACTCATAAATGAATTTATCAGTGTAGCAGGATACAAAATCAACACCCCATAAAACAGTAGCATTCCTATACACCAATCATGAATCCACTGAAAGAAAAATTAGTAAAACTATTCCATTCACAACAGCCTTAAAAAAAAATACTTGGGAATCAATCTAACAAAAGAGGTGAAAGACCTCTACAATGAAAAGTACAGAACACTAAAGAAAGAAATTGAAGAAGACCTTAGAAGATGAAACCATCTCCCATGTTCTTGGTTAGGCAGAATTTATATAATCAAAATGGGTATACTACCAAAAGTGTTATACAGATTTAATAACAACTCCTATAAAAATTCTAATAACATTCTTCATAGAAATAGAAAAAGCAGTCATGAAATTCATTTGGAAAAACAAAAGAGTTCTAGAATAGCCAAAGCAGTCCTTAGTGAGAAAAGGGAATTAGGAGATATCACAATACCTGACCTTAAATTATATTACAGAACTACAGTAACAATGTAGCATGGTATTGGCACAAAAACAGACATGTAGACCAGAGATTCAGAATAGAAGACACAGAGACAAACCCACATAAATACAGTTATCCTAAACAAAAGATAAACAAGCAGGAGAAAAGTATTATCAACAAATGGTGCTGGGAAAACTGGAACTCATATGTAGCAGAATGAAATTGAACCCCTATCTCTCACCCTGTACAAAACTCAACTCAAGGTGAATCAAGGACCTAGGCATTAGACCAGAGTCCTGTGCCTAATAGAAGAAAAATGTAGGTCCAGCTCTCCATCATATCAGCTTAGAAACTGACTTCCTCAACAAGACTGCTAAAGCACAAGAAGGAAAATCAAGGATCAATAAATGGGATGGTATCAAACTCAAAAGCTTCTTCATAGCAAAGCAAACAATCAAGAAATTGAAGAGAGCCTTCAAAATGGGAGGAGATCTTTACCATCTGTAATCATACAGAGCATTGATCTCCAGGATATACAAAGAACTCACAAAAACTGAACACTAAAACAAACAAACAAACATAAAAACCAAATGACCCGGTCAATGAATGGGCAAAAGAACTGAACAGACACTTCACAGAAAAAGAAATACAAATGGTCAAAAAATATATGAAAAAATGTTCCACATCTGTAACAATTAGATAAACGCAAATTTAAACTATACCAAGATTCCATCTCACTCCAGTCAGAATGGCAATTACCAAAAACACAAGTAACAATAAATGTTGGTGAGGATGTGGGGAACAAAGTTTCACTCATACATTGTTGGTGGAAATACAAATTGGTGCAACCACTCTGGAAAGCAGTATGGAGATTCCTCAGGAAACTTTGAATGGAACCACTCTTTGACCCAGTTAGCACACTTCTTGGTTTATACCTAAAGGTTTTAAAATCAGCATACTATAGTGAAACTGCCACATCAGTGTTTATAGCAGCTCAATTCACAATAGCCTAGGTGCTCTTCAACAGATGAATAGATAAAGAAAATGTGGTGTATATACACAATGGAATATTTCTCAGCCTTAAAGAAGAATGAAGTGATGGCATTTGTCAGTAAATGGATGGAACTAGAGACTACCATGCTAAGTGAAATATGCCAATCCCCCAAAACCAAAGGCCGAATGTTTTCTGATATGTGGATACTGACACATGTAAGGTGGGAAGGGAAAGAAGAATAGAAGTTCATTAGATTAGACTGAGGGGAATGAAGGGAAGGGAAAAGAACAGGAGAGACAGTAGAATGAATCGGACATAACTTTCCAGTGTACATGTATGAATATATGACCAGTGAAACTCCTCATCATGTACAACTGCAAGAATGGGATCCTGATTAGAATAAGTTATACTCTGTGTATGTGTAATATGTCAGAATATGCTTTACTGTCATGTATGTATAAAAAGAACAAATTTTTAAAAATAAGGAAAATAGTATGCACAATCAGGCTGATGTAAACACTACCATTTCTCCTTTCCAAATGTGTGCATTCTAGAAATGGTAAAATAAGTTACTAGACCTCAGGAATTTATTTTGTTGTAAATTGTATGGAACATATTATTTGGATTTGATTTTGCATGATTGTTTTTACTTTTATTCTATTCCCCGTCCCCATACTGGGCTTTGATCTCTTAAACTTTTTAGATGATATGTGGGCTAACTCAAGTAAGACTTCTTTTGAGAAAAAAGAAAAAACAAAAAATCCACTTTTTAAAAGCTAACATTTTTTTTCTTCTTCAAAAAAGAAATAAAGAAAGTTTGTGGATCCCACAGAATGCCGCGTAGAATATTGTTCTTTAGCACTAATGATACCTCCTGGATTTTTGTTTTCTTTGGTTCTTGTTTGCATATTTGGAGATAGTGGTACTTCTTTAAACAAATGTTTAAGGGAGTATTAAAATTTCTATTTACAGTTTCTCCCCATACTCCTACTTCATTCAAAGTGAAGGATATTAATTCAACAGCTGTTACACTATTTTGGCATTTACCAGGCAACTTTGCAAAGATTAATCTGTTATGTGAAATTGAAATTAATAAAGCTAATTCAGCACAAGACTTGGTAAGTAAGATTTGTCTCCAAACATCCCTTTTGGTTATTCTGGGTAAAACACTTAGTATTTAAAGAAAAGTAAGTAAATTGATATGTGCAAGCACTCAGATTACAGTTATTTTCTAAGAACCAAGAAAGACATTACATATCAGTATAATATTAATACTCTATTTAGTTTACAAAAGCAATTATAATGCTGGGTATTATAGAATGGCAAGTTTAGCTTTACTACTCAGAATGCTCCCTAGTGTATAGCACCTGCCATGTAGCTGGTGCTCAATGAGTTTGTGAGTGAATCAATAGTTTTTGTTGTACACTTTACTGTCGGTTAATAAACTAATTGGCACCAAAGAATAAAAGTGATTTTTTTAAATTGAAAAGTGCAACAATGGGACCAAATCATAATTGGTAATTATAAGTCAAAACATGACTTTTCAGTACATGTTAAGTATTTAGGTTGACTTTTCTATCTTTTAATTTGGGTAAAATTTAAAATGACTAATGTTATACTTAAATATTCACTGGTTTCTAGAAATTCTGTCAAAATGACAAAATGTATTCTGAAAATCTTCCTTGTAATAAGTGCAGAGGCTTTCTTGAGGCATGCAGATTCCAAAATTTGTTTAGAACTACTTCATTTAAATTTTACTGGTTTAGTTTAAGTAAGTTGTTGCAGGACTATTTATAGGATGGCTAGTGCCATAATAGAGGTCCTGAGTGACCCAGAAACAGAGATGCATAAAAGTCAATGTCTGCTTCCAGGAAGCTTTCAAATACCTTCTGAATGATACTATTTAATCCTCAAGATCATCTCAGACTAGTGATTGCATGGTCACTAGTCATTGACTCATTATCACAACTTGCATCTGCAACACAACTTAATTAACCATTGTAACTTAGATCCAGTATTTACATTTAAAAGACACCACAATATTTTATTGCTACAATGTAGCATAATTTCATTGACTTGACATTTCATAAGAATTAAAGTGCTATAGTAGATTAACTCTATTTGGTATTATAATTGCAAACTGTTATGGCCTTTTTGAGTCAATATAGGTTATAAATGTAGGAGGTTTCTTACAAAAAAATCTGTGTATATGAGTACATAGATGCATTCATACACACATGGCATATACATGTACCTGTTTATTTGTTTTCAAAAAGCGGAATGTCACAATCAAAGGAGTAGAAAATTCAAGTTATCTGGTTGCTGTGGACAAATTAAACCCATACACTATATATACCTTTCGGATTCGTTGTTCTGCTGAAACTTTCTGGAAATGGAGCAAATGGAGCAATGAGAAAAAACATTTGACCACAGAAGCCAGTAAGTTAATGAAGAGGCTTGTGACTGCTTATGATTTGGGGGAGGTGGGAAGATGTGAGAAAGGCACCCAGGGACCACTCACAGACAACCGTAAGGTGATTTGAATCTCCGAGGCCTTGTGTTTTATAGAAGTTGAGATTTTAGGTCTTCTGTTTCTTTTTCTAAGTAGATGCTACTGAACTGCCTTACATTATATTGAAATTTCCAAATATCCTACAAAGAAATGCAAGCACCACCACCTCAATTATATTATCCACTGATGTACACAAGGCCTCTTCAAATACTAAATTTTAAATCTTCTTCCTAGTTCCTTCAAAGGGACCAGATACTTGGAGAGAATGGAGTTCTGATGGAAAAAACCTAATAATCTACTGGAAGGTAAATATCTAATTTAAATAGCTTTATTATGCTCCCATGTGTAACTTGCATATGATACTTTTGCTGTCAAGGGACCAAGACTTCCAAGATTGGCTAAGTTGGCAGCATTGCTGAGATCTAACCTGGCTCCTAAGACTCCCGGGCTCCTCATTCACTCCTAATTCACCAGGATCCTTGTATGGAGGATCCTCTGTCTCCGTTCTGAGCTCTCTTGACTCTCATTTTATGAGGTCTGTGAAGAACCTAAGAATTTCTCCTTTGTTTTAGTCAGAAACTTATAGCCATAAACCATAGAGTCCCAAGTGTGGGTTACATTTTTGTTTTATGAGCAGTGGACCCCAAACAGTGCCATATAAATTTGTGCAGTTGTTTCAGAAGCAGTTTGAACAGTTGAAGTGAAGTTTGAAGTTCATTTCTTTTTTAAGTCAACTTTTGGGAATCCATGTTGAAGAATTAATGAAATATGAAAAATGAAAAAAATATGGTACAAAGACATTCAATAAAATGTTATTTTAGTATTGTGAAAAAGTGGGAACAACTTAAATTCCATTTGTTTAAGAAATATTCAGATATTCTGGTGAAAATGCTACATGAAATATAAAGCCATTAAAATGTGTGTAATTATTAATATAGACAAGAAAAGTGAAGAGGCTTGTGACTGCTTATGTGAAAAAAGTATAAAATTGTGTAGTATGATTAGAATCATATTTAAGGGAACTTCTTTTCAGTTCATATGGCAGACTTGAAATTAAGATAAGTTACACCATTTAATAACATCATCACAAGTCATGCTGGGGTCATTAATTTAAAAAATAACAATAAATAAAACTCTACACCTAGAAAAATACCTTAGAAGAGAGATTAAAATACAAGAGTATCCAAAAGGTGGGAATGTAGGAGATTTTTTTCTTTGCATTTTTTATGTATTTTCCAGTTTTCTGTAGTGAACATGTACTACTTTAAAATGAGAAAACAGTGCATAATACCACAATTTTTAATGTTTTGTATAGAGCAGTGCCTCTGACACTTTAAAATTTTCCTTCTGAAATTGTGAAGATAAATATAGTTCTGTATTTACTCAATTTTTAAATTTCTGGGTGCTTGTAATACTTAGAGTAGGGATGGATGGCTTTTGCTTCAGTATCACTTTTTCTGATATAGCCAGCTCTTAGTGGACTGGAAACCTGTTTCATGGTCGTGACCACTTTGTCTTTTCTAATGTGACTCTGTTATGTGATCACATCATCCACTTTAGACTTGACGACCTTGCCTCATTGCAGCTGCTTTTTGCAAGTATTTACTAACAATTTATTTTTCTGTTTTCTTAGCCTTTACCCATTAATGAAGCTAATGGAAAAATACTTTCCTATAATGTATCATGTTCATCAAATGAAGAAACACAATCCCTTTCTGAGATCCCTGATCCTCAACACAAAGCAGAAATACAACTTGATAAAAATGACTACATCATCAGTGTGGTGGCAAAAAATTCAGTTGGTTCATCTCCACCTTCTAAAATCGCTAGTATGGAAATCCCAAATGGTAAGTACTTAAGACAACTTGGTGTATAAGAACAGGAAAATAAAGTAAAAAATGTTTATGTTACTTGCTCCTATGTAATGTCAATAGTCTTCTCATATGCTTTGCTGCTGACATATCGTATATCATGTATGGAGGAACAAGCAGATTAATATCTAATATTCATTGAGAGCAGTCATTAGTATTGACTTGAAGCATTGTACACTTATAAAATTATTACTGTTTCCACTTTATCACATAATGTTAAGAATTATGGTTATGGATAGTACTCTCATTAAGAAATAATTTTAACTTTTTATTCAAGTACTGTTTTCAAATCTCTCTCCAAGATGACAGGAGCCTATTCTGTCAGCCAGGGTGTTTTACAAACTATCAGGCAGAAGAAGGCAGAAGAAGAATATTCGTTTTAATTGGTAATTTTGTTGATAAGAAAGTCTTCCTAAAGTCTAAATTAGATCTTTAATACAGGCTTTGGGAAAAGACAAAAAAAAAAAAAAAAAAACAACTGTAGTGAAATTTAAAAATTATAAATGTCTTCCTTTAAATTTTATTGTACTCCTCCTCAGCTTCTACCTGGACAGCTTTTTGAGACACGGTTTTAAATTACCACTGCACCTCTTTTTCCAGTGAACCTCTTCCAACTGATTTTCTGTCCCCCTTCTGCTGTGCTGCCCCATGTGGGAGCACCTTTTTCTAGTACCCACTCCTAGAGGAAGGACAGCAGGGTCCAGTCGCTGTGGAGGCTGGCCCACTGCCCAGCCACTGTCCCTTTCCAATCTTCACCACACCAGCACATTCCTCCTCCCCACCCTGCTCCTGGTCAGCCAGAGTCCCCTCAGCTCAGCTCTGGGATCAAAGCTTCCTGGAAAGGAGGACGAGGGGCTTGGCCACCCATTCTTTTTCTGATGTGTTCATTCTGCATACTGTGCTGGGCCTGCTCTCTGGGGCTCACATTGCATTCAGAGAGGTTGATTAGAATGGGGGTTAAACTGCCCCCTGGTGTCCTTTACCAGCCTCCTGCCTCTCTTCCTCATCTTGAGTGGCCATGCCACTTCCCCTCCAGTGCTCATCCCCATCGAATTCCCTCAGCCCCCTTCTTCTGACTCTGGGTCTTCCAGCCCCAATACATCCCTGCTTAATCGTTGGTGCTTTTTAACCTTTTCCAGCTGCAATGCTAATCTTTGTGTACAGGTTAGTGCTGTAGATGTTAAATAAATAGAATGAAGCAGCACTTCTAATCTTTATGCTTAACATTTATCTAATGCCGCAGTCTGGCTGGGCACAATCAGGAGCCACTTGTCAAAAGAAACTAACTTTATTTTTAGAACCACACACGCCAAACAAAACAGCCTCTCAGGAAAAACCCTCAGAGCCTCAACTGCCACCACCTGCGTTCCACAAGCCTCTCTCTCCCCCACAAGCTTCTCTCCACCTCCCACAATCCTCCTGCTCTTGAGGCCGATTGGCTGGGTCACGTGGGCGGAGCCAAAAAAGTCCCCCAATGAGCAGCTCCGTGGTCTGAAAGGGCAGGGAAACAGCCCAATGAGCATCACCGCAGAGGAGCCAATCAGCTAGATGTTGCTGGGGCCGAGGAGCCAATCAGCTAGATGTTGCTGGGGCCGCTGTGAGCCAATCATCAGCCAGCAGCTGGAAGTTTGCTGGCAGCTGAAAGTTTGCTGGGGCCCCTTTGGCTGTGGCTCTCAACATCTCCCCCTCTCTGTTTAAACAACAAGCATGTGGCTTAGGGACCGTGTCTGTTAGGCAGTCCAATTCAACATATGGTCCTTACCCGTCATCGGATGAACTGACCTCTAGGCGTCAGCCTCCTGTCTTAGGTTGGTACCACTGCAATTGGATCATACCCGTCACTGACTACCGGTCCAGCATACAGCTATACTTGTGGATAGGCCTTTGCACCAGTGGGGGGGTGAGGTTCTTTGCCTTACCTCTGTTGGCCCCCAAATTTTAGACCATCACTAGTAGAGGAGGATGCAAAATGCCATGACATTAAGCCAATTGAGGGCTCCTTTGAAAAATTGTACCACCGGTGACATCATCAGCAAAAATACCCCAACACTACCACAAGTCGCTGCACCAACAGATAGTTCACAATGCATACAGGTGAGCTCACAATGTGTCCAGGCAAGTTCTGCAAGCAGTTCAGTGATGGCTATTGTAGAAACTGTAGATTGGTTTTATCTTTGACTTCACCAGCACTGGGATGAAGATAGGAATTCTGGCAATAATGGCTAAAGAAAAAATTATGTAACATTCCAGAAGGCACTAAAAGAAAACAATTTTCTTAACAATTTACATTGTCTTCACCGGCACTGGGATGAAGATAGGAATTCTGGCAATAATGGCTAAAGAAAAAATTATGTAACATTACAGAAGGCACTAAAAGAAAACAATTTTCTTAACAATTTACATTATCTTTAAGAGAATTATTAAATATAATGAAAAGGAAAGGTGAAAGTAAACAAACAGATCTGTTAACCTTCTTTTTTGTTTACATATTAAAACAATCCTCAACAGTTGTTTACCCAATAAACAACAGCTGCCAGCAATCTAGTGTGAGCACTGTTTTGTAATCTTGTGTACACTGAAGTTTATTTTCATGAGGTGTGCTTTACAATATTGTTTTTAATGCCAGTAAAATATCATTCTTTGTTGAAGATGATCTCAAAGTAGAGCAGGCTGTTGGAATAGGAAAAAAGATTCTCCTCACCTGGCATCATGACCCCAATATGACTTGTGACTATGTTATTAAATGGTGTAACTCATCTCGGTCAGATCCCTGCCTTATGGACTGGAAAAAGATTCCTTCAAACAGCACTGAGACCATAATAGAATCTGGTAAGATGAATTAGTGTCTCTCAAAGTTCTTAAAAATATTTTTCAGAAGCAATACCAGGGCCAGTGCGGCCAGCATTTTCCTTTTACCAGTGGGCAGATGGGAACTGGTTTAGCTCTTCTGGAATGTGGTTTGTGGCAATATGGATGGATGTGAAAGGACTCTAACTCTGTGATCTAGTAATTACTTGTCTTGGAATTTATTCCAAGAAATAATTGGAGAACAACTCATTTGTATCTAACAATGTTCTCTACAATAGTATTTGTAATTATGAAAAATTGAAAACAACCCAAATAGCAGACAGTGTCTTTGGAGGTTGGTCCCCCTGCCCAGCCTCCGTAGGATATCAAAGGGGACAGTTTAACCCCCCACTCAGTAAATATTGGTGACCACAGGCTTAACCTGCCTTATCCTTTGGAACTGGAGTCCCTTCCTCATGTTCACACCTGAGTGGCTGGTGAGCAGTATGGTACTTTCCCCTGGGGGTATGGAGCAGGTAGCTTGTCACCAGTGATGCTCCCTGGCCATCCCCTCCCCTGGCTTTCCCTCGAATGCTGGCAGTGCACATGAGAGCAAGTGATATGCAGGTCACTTTTGTCCTGGGAGTGCATTCTGTGGCTTCAGTGTTCTCACTGTCAGGCTGTATGATTTTAGAGGTTGATCATCTCACTTTTGAGTCTATAGACCACTGGTGTTCTGTGAGCACATAATTAAAAAATTAATTTATTAAGTATGTTAGAATAATTGTGTCCCGAACATTGAATGCAATTCTTACTCTACCATTTCTCCCCAAGCATTATCTTCCCTAATGAGCCCTAATTGCTCCTCAAGGCTCTGTTCAAACATCACTTCAGTGGCTTTTTCTGATCCTAGACTCATTTGGTACCTCACTTAAGGTCACACAGCATAGTATCTACAGTACAGAGCAACACACTTTATTATAGTTACCCTGTTCTGTGTCTTCCCACCACTGCCACCTTCTCCCACCAGGGACCTTGTTTTGTGCACTTTCATGCTGCTTACATTATGCACATTGCATTGGGATCCAGGCAGCATTTTAAATGTGATTTTAGGGTTGAAATCAAGATACCTCCCTTGTATGTGTGTGGAGTAAACTCACCTGGGGACACTTAACGACAGTGTTGCAAAGAGGAACAGGCCTGGTTCTGTTTAACACCAAAGCTTCAAGGTAGAGTGGAGCTCATAGATTCTGCTTCTTGGAGCACTGGTCTTCTTCAACCCAGAAATAACATCATGTAGGGAAAGGAGGGATTTATGGAAGGATGTGCACCTAGAGTGGGTTACTGAAATGATCCTGGAATGAGTTTTAGGTTCTATGTTCTATATCTAAAATAGATACTCCTGGTAATTGTATGTGTGTATTTATGACACTTCACTAATCTGTTCATCCTATAGATCAGTTTCGACCTGGTATAAGATACAATTTTTTCCTGTATGGGTGCAGAAATCAAGGATATCAATTATTACGTTCTATAACTGGATACATAGAAGAATTGGGTAAGTTAAGTGGGTAAGGATTTTTTTTAGAGTTCAGGTAACATGAAAAATTACAACTCAGATGAGATTGAATTCCAAAAACAGATTGAATTAAGGTATTCAAGAAAGGAAAAATAATTCTTATGGTAAATTCAAAATTATTTATTTGGTTACTTATTTTTTAATGTTTATATTTCACAATTTTATTATTGTCATAGAGAAAATTAAATGTTAGCTTGGATGTCAAAAATATTTTATTTCCATTTATATAAGTTTAAAAACTGTTAACTGTTAACTTATTCCAGGACTATCAATGAAGAAGGAAAATAAAATTTAATTATATTTGAGTATTCACTTAAAGATTTTGTACAAGTTGTTTCCCTAGGTATGTGTTTTGTGCAGAAGTTGCATTGTAAGTTCTACCTTAGTTCCTATAAACCTAGTAGATAAATTTTGTGTTACTGTCACTGGAGGTTTATGGTTAAATGGAAAACACAGTTCTAATTCCAAGTTTAGCTGGTTTTGAGGCCAGAAATCTCATGAACTATTACTGTCTTACTCCATATTGCCAAACTTTCCTTCAGCAACTGACTTTGTTTGTTTTTTTAACAGCTCCAATTGTTGCACCAAATTTTACTGTTGAAGATACATCTGCAGATTCCATATTAGTAAAATGGGAAGATATTCCTGTGGAAGAGCTTAGAGGCTTTTTAAGAGGGTATTTATTTTACTTTGAAAAAGGAGAAAGAGACACGTCTAAGAGGGGCAATGTGGAATCAGGTAAGTAAATCCCTAGCTTGACTGTAGTGTTTATCAGAAGTTGCCATTACCCACAAAGGAAAGAAAAGAAATGGGAAGAGAGAGCTACTTTGGTTTATCAAAACTGTCTGAAAAATAGGGAAATGAAAATGAAGTCATTTTATGGCTATGAGAGTGTCAAGACTTCAATATGCAAAAATGGCATGTGTGGTCTTTTAGAAATCATTTAGGTCATTTACTCTCATGTCTGTTAAAAGTCCCATAAGGACAGGGAGTTTATTAGCCTTGCATGATCCATAACATAGCATCTTATGAAACTTACTTAAGAGAAAAATCCAGGAATCCAGAGGCTTCAGAGCCCCACTGTAATCTGACAGGGAGCCATCAGCATGGTCAGCTTCATCCTTAGCCCAGCCATAATGTGCTAAGAAACTTAAAATTGGTTTGAGTGGAGTTGTGAGTAGCCTTTCAGTTTTAAAAAGTACCATCAGTCCTGGTCAGTTGGCAAGTGTCCAGCAAGAGTTCTCAAATTTATAAGTACTAAAATGTTTGTACAGATTGCTGGCTTTTTCCTGAGCTGTATTTCTGTTGGGAGGCAGCCGTTTCTTATCTACCGATGCACAGTACAAGAGGATCATCTTCTCAGTCTGAGAGCTTTTACTTCCATTAGGACCTCTCCTCAGAAGGAAACCCTTTTAATTATTTAAAGCCTGTCTGACAAGTAGAGAACAGCAGTGCTGCCCCAGGATGCTGACTGGCCATTGTCAGAGTCATTTCCGAGAGCTGCTGCGGTAATGTGCGCCCTCCCAGGTTGCTGACTTCTGCGGTTCCTGACCCTTCAGGGTGGCCCATGGACAAGGAAACCCTAAATAGGAGATTCTACAAATATCCAGAGATGAATATAATTTTCCTAAAATGCTTAGAAATTTTATACTTGAACAAGTTGAAACTCTAGCATCTGGATTTCCAGGTAGACATGGTGGGTTGTCACTTGAGTTAGAGTATAAAAGAATAGAAGTCACAAAGCCAGAAGGAAAAAGAGAATGCAGATGACAACAGCCAAAAGGAGGTTTCAGAAATGTTGGGGTGGGCACAGGCAGATGACTTAGATGAGCAGAGGATGCTAAATCTAAATTTAAATTAGTGGGCCACTATCATGGAGAAGCAATGCACTTGACCCTGTAGGACCAGGTGTTGGAAGCAAATAGGACAAATCTGAGATGAATGGAAAGTTGATTGAAGGAAGTGTCCCATAACTGCAGGACTGTGCTTATACAAAAGTAAAAGGGTATAACAAGTACACAGGAAGATAGCTAGGAATAGATGTATGCCAAGGTATATTGTAGTGAACCTCAGGTGCCTAATGCAGTCCTAGAATCAATCAGAGAAAATTGGGTTCCTTATAAGGGACCAGGGCTAAGGCTTCAGAGTTCCCACACACAGATACAATGAGATTCCACAGTGGTGTCCTCAAAATATTGAGTGAAAATCATTTTCAATCATAGTTCTCTACTCTGCCAGTCTTCCCACCAATATGGCAGTAGATTGGGGACATTTCTAGACATGAAATGCTGCAAGTGTGTACTTCCCCCATGCTACCTCACTCAGGAAACTGCTAAAAGAGTGTATTGCATTGGGAAGAGTGGGGAGTCCCAGGAAGCTTCAGAGGAGAGGAGGACAGGGAAGTCCTGTCTTTCAGTCTAGAGCAGGAGGCAGGGAGGTGGCAGGGGAGATGTGAAACTGGAATTTTGTTAGACCACGTAGAAAATTGTATTGAGTATTCATTGGCATACATGGGAAGAATTAGGAATTGGTACGTAGAAAATCAAACAAATTGAGGGGAGAAAGGCAGTGGTAACAGTAAGAAAACAGAAATGGAACATTGTACCAAACACTTTTTTATTTTTAGCAGTAACACATATTCGTGAGATCATAATAATATCAACATTGAATTCACCAAATGTTGCAAAGTTTCTGTATGAATGAAATGGTTGGGGAGATAGCAGTAGTTGAAAAGAGCTAAATCTTCATCTGTCTTTTTGGATGTGATATTGTCTAAAATTTAAAAGCTAGCAATCTAAGGTTATTTTAAAATATGAAGGTAAAAGAAACCCAAACATTTTGAAGTGGTTATAGGTGGTGAGGGAAGGGGTCAGTAGGGAACTGCCATATTTTGTTGTTAGCCATTTACTTTTTAATTTTTTAAACTATCATCTTGCATTATTTTGGATGCTGTTTTTAAAAATAGAATGTTTAAATAGTTATTCACCCTTCTTTTGAAATAATTCAAATACTTCCTCCTAGTTTCTTATTTTAAAATTCCCATAACAAGGATCTTTTTTTAAAGTGGTTTGAAGTCGTCTCTATTGATTTGCACTCCTGCCCTGTCCAGCCTCTGCCTCTGACTCACAGGCAGCATCAGCCCTGGTGGGTTTGGGTTGTGTGGTTTTCATAGTCTTAGTAATGGACAGGAAGTGACTTGTATTGATTGCCAGATGTACACCAGCCATTGTTCTAAAGGGTGTGTATGAAACTTTACACAGTCCTGTGAGCAAGTCGTGATGTTCTGTTTTCAGAGTCAAAAGACCCTCAAATTCAGAGTAGTTTGAATACAGTCCTGACTAGCAGAGGTGGAATTCGAATGTGGCTCGAGCTGGCTCCTGATCCTTGGCTGGGGGTAGCCAGCAGACAGATTCACTTAAAGAGTGACTGGTGTGACTGGCATGTATAATCATGTATTAAAGATTGTGTAGAGATGAGTTAGAATGTTCTTCATTTTAAAAACAGGTCGTTCCGACATAAAGGTTAAGAATATTACTGACATATCCCAGAAGACACTGAGAATTGCTGATCTTCAGGGTAAAACAAGTTATCATCTGGTGTTGCGAGCCTATACAGATGGTGGCATGGGCCCAGAGAAGAGCATGTTTGTGGTGACAAAGGAAAATTGTAAGTCAAATACTGACCTTGAAATGTCTTCCATCCTTCAGCTCATAGTGTTTCTAGCAATTTTTAGTCTGAAAAATCCGTTTCTCTCCTTTTTAAAAAATAATTTTACATTTCATTGCATTTTTATACTAGGATAAAAGGTTATGGGATGACCCCTCATTTATTCCTGTCAGTTATTTGAAGCTATTTCCAAATGGGTACCTAAGAAATTAATGAATTAGGGATACATCCAAAGTCTAAAAGTCCGAGTTCATATTGAATTTGTATAATTGTCAACCTGTTTAAATTTAACTGTCTGTAATGTTTAATATATCTAAGTGAAATAATATGCTTTAAAAATGTTTGTACATCATATACCATAGGCTTAGGCTCTACCTCTGAGAATAGGATTAAAGTTCATGTTCAGCTCTTAAGTGAAGAGCTGTGGGGAGGTTGTGGTTCACCAAAGCAGTGCTTCTCAGCAGGGGGAGACTTTGCCCTGGAGGAGGTGTCTCCTAGTGTCTGTGAGGTTTCTGATTGAAGACTTGTGGTGGGAGGGGTGTGATAAAATTTCCTGCAGTACACAGGACAGTCCTCACCACATCCCCCTCCAACCACAGAAATACCTGGCCCCCATCTTAGTAGTGTCAAGATTGAGAAGGTCTGTTCCAAAGAATTAAAAATTATAATAATACTTTGAAGATTTAAAGGTGATATTTTTAATAGTTTTTCAGAGTCCCTGGAGCCATTAAGTTTTTTTTTCTTTTCAAATAATTCTAACATAAGTATCTTCTAATCAAGTTTATTGTACACTTGATACTAAAATGGTGATTTTTATTGTTTGCAACATTCTCTTTCAGCTGTGGGATTGATTATTGCCATTCTCATCCCTGTGGCAGTGGCTGTCCTTGTTGGTGTAGTAACAAGCATCCTTTGCTATCGGAAACGAGAATGGTAATGGCACCTGCTTTTACTCTGTTTTCTTTTTAGGGGCTTGATTATTTAGTTTTGTATTACAAAATAAGTACATCTTTATAGTTGTATGAGTTAGTAGTAGTGTATATTTTGTTTAGTCAGATTTAATGTTGACTTTAATTAATAGGCAAGAACATGACATTCTATTTAAAAGTTTTAAAGTTAATAGAGTAAAAGTATAAATTTTCCCCTATTCTTAATTATAATTTAAGGTAATGGCAATTGTGCTAAAATAAATAAAAATATATATGTACATATATATGTACACACAAATATGTACATATATGTACACAAATATATATTCAGACATAAGTATTACAACAGGCATCTGCAGGATAAAATGTGATTTAATGATTAAGGTCTCACTTGTCCTGGTAACCTATTTAGAAAATCTGGTCATCGTGGTCCCTCACTCCTTTGTGCACCAGGCATGGCTCCCCTTCCATGTGAAGTGGGAGATAGTGATGAGCAAAACAGAACTGGTCCTTACAGAGCTCTCCCATAAAGAGGAAAAGGGACAGTGAGCCACAAATGTCCAGTGACCTTGTGCTTGCAAAGTGTGGGTGGGTACTAGGAAGGAGGGGAACAGGGAGCCACAGGGAGACTGCTCCCGGGAGAGTCTGGGAGGTTAAAAGAACATTCCAGACAAAGAGAATGGCTTCTACGAATCCTGAAATTGTGAGTGAACTGACAGAGACAAGAGCTGAGGTTAGGTGGGGTGAGGTGGGCAGAGGCTCAGAGGAGATAGTGGCACATACTTGGTTAACTGGCAGGAGCTGTCCTGGGTGTGGGGCAGATGGCTGTAAGCTGTATTCGTGTAGAGAAAAGTCCTCACTTTCTAAAACAATTATCAGTTCTGATGAAGAAGAGAATGTATTGTAGCAATTCTGGCTTCTAAATCAAAATAATTATAGAACTGTAGCCCAATTTTGATAGCCATATTCTTGTTACCAAAAATCACATTTTAAAAATAGTTATTGTAATACTAAAAAATAAAAAAGAAACAAAGTAAGAAGGATGGTTAGAAGTTAGAACATTTCAGACTCACATTAATAGTTCTTTTTCTTGCAGGAATTTCAATAAAGTTCTTGTTAATTGCTTTAATTCTAAAAATCTAATATGACACTGAGCAAATCTCTCTCTCTCTTTTTTTCTTTTTTTGCATTCAGTTTTTACCCACAACTAATAGGCTTTCTCTTTCTTGGCATGACAGTTGACGTACTTGGGACATATGGTTTCACCTGCCTGCTGCTATTGTTAAGCACCATGGTAAAGCAGTAATGCAGCACCATAGTTGTGCCTGCATAGTCCTGTGGTGAGCAGGAGAGACCTGCCTGTGCAGACCTGTTCCCCAAGTGATCGATCCTGCTTAAGCCAGTTTGCAGTCTGAAAATTATGGTTGTACGGACAATGTCTGTATTTTACTTTGAATATAATGGCACAGTCACCATTTTAATAATTTGCTTTCCATTTTCATGATAAGATACTATAGTTCTAGGAATAAAATTATTATTTATACTTTTCAATTTGGAACCTGGTATAGAAAACTGTAGTGAATGATCACATGTTTTTATCTCAGGTTTTCATTAAAATATTGATATGAAATGTCAAAATAAGCCAAGCCAGGTGTGGCAGCACATGCTTGTAATCCCAGCTACTTGGGGGACTAATGCAAGAGGATCACGAGTTTGAGGCTGGCTTCAGCAACTTAGTGTGACCCTGTATCAAATATAAAATACAGAGCTGGAAATGAAGCTCAGTAGTAGAGCTCTTGCCTAGTGTATACAAAGCCCTGGGTTCATTTTCCAGCATCACAAAAAATAAATAAGCCTTATGACTTATTTGTTATATGATTCATACTTTTTAGTTATTAAATATATTTAATTATTCTTTATTTAAAGGATTAAAGAAACCTTCTACCCTGATATCCCAAACCCGGAAAATTGTAAAGCATTGCAATTTCAAAAGAGTGTCTGTGAGGTAATCTTTTATTTTCTTAAATTTGTCTTTGAAATATTGGCTTTCTTTCATCTTTTGTGAAAAGTTTGTAACCTGCAGATGTAAAAAGTATGGAGAAAATAGCATTTTTTAACGTGTGTTTCTAAAATTATTAGTCTTGGACTGTTTATACTGTGCCCTTTTTTTCCACTACTATTAATAGCAATGGGAAATACTAATGTGGACAAAACAGTGGCTTTGCTCTGTTTGCGTACTACAGAGTATCAGAGACAATGTTTATAAGCAGATGTGAAAAAATAAATATGCCCTTTTTGTAGGAGAAGCATTGCAGTAGCATTTAGAGCTGTTCTTTTTTTTTTAAGAGAGAGAGAGAATTTTTTTTAATATTTATTTTAGAGCTGTTCTTAATCACTGTTTGAAAATTTATTTCTAGGGAAGCAGTGCTCTTAAAACATTGGAAATGAATCCTTGTACTCCAAATAATGTTGAGGTTCTGGAGACTCGATCAACAGTTCCTAAAATAGAAGATACAGAAATAATTTCTCCAGTAGCCGAGCGTCCTGATGTTAGCTCTGATGTGGAACCTGAAAACCATGTGGTCGTGTCCTACTGTCCTCCCATCATCGAGGAGGAGCTGCCAAACCCGGCAGTGGACGAAGCTGGAGGGACCGCACAAGTCGTTTACATTGATGTTCAGTCCATGTACCAGCCTCAGGCCAAACCAGAGGAGGAACAAGACACTGACCCTGTGGTGGGCGCAGGCTATAAGCCCCAAATGCGCCTCCCCATTAACTCTGCTGCAGAGGCCACAGCTGCAGGAGATGGGGTGGATAAGACTGCAGGCTATCGGCCTCAGGCAAATGTAAACACGTGGAACTTAGTCTCCCCAGACTCCCCTCGATCCACAGACAGTAACAGTGAAATCGTCTCTTTTGGAAGTCCATGCTCCATCAACTCCCGACAATTTTTGATTCCCCCTAAAGATGAAGACTCTCCTAAATCTAATGGAGGGGGGTGGTCCTTTACAAACTTTTTTCAGAACAAACCAAATGATTAACAGTGTCACCCTGTCACTTCAGTCTGCCATCTCAATAAGCTCTTACTGCCTGCGTTGCCTCAGTAGCGCTGGGCGTTCTTGGAGGGACCTGTGAAGCATTGGAGCCAAGTGAACTTCACCACGTTCAGGTTGTACTAGGAGTGTGCATGTGCTTTTGATGCCGTCCAAAAGCCAAAGTACATGACTCGGAATCCTCAACCCACAACACTCAAGATTCAGAGCTATCGGTGTTTGAGCCAAAGAATTTCCCCTTCAAGAGGCATTTATTTCCAGGCAAATGCTATACGCAGAACAAATCCCACAGCACCTGTTTTCTGTTGTTAATGGTTTTCTTGTATGTATGCTTGTGGAATTACAAGGGAGATTTGCAGGCATGAGAGAAAAATGTCGTAGTCACATAATGTTTATTTGCCTGACATCTACTCCATTTTAGAGGACAACCAAGCACAGAATTTTAAACATTTAAGATGATTCTCCTCTATCCACAGTATTTACAAAAGTTAATATAATTTTTAATGTAGCAACAGCTATTTAGTGTTCTGTTTGATAAAGAGTGCTGATTTCTGTGCCTACTGTATAATGGTTATCAAACAGTTGTCTCAGGGGTGCAAACTTAGAAAACAAGTGTGACACACTGACCAGCCTGAATCAGAATCACGTTTTCTTGCTTTGGTAGGTTTTTCAAACCTTTCCATTGTTTTTTAGCTTTTATGCTAGCTTCCGTTACTGCAGTTGGTTACCCTAATATTTGAAACTTAAATTTCTAGGCCTATAGATCCAAGTGGGTTTTTTAAAATCCATTTTATTTTGTGATACAGTGTCAGCTTTATATGAGTAAATTAAATATTATTCATAAGCATATAATTCCAATGATTTACTATGTGAGATGACTACTAAGCAATATCTAGCGGCATTACTGGCCATGTAGCTCTGATTGGCTTTGGTTCCCCCTGAAAAGACCATGCCCTTGAGCCCAGTCATCAGGCAGTGGTATTCTTTGGCGCTTCCCAGCAGGTTTTCCTCCCCCTCATCTGTCAGATCTCCCCCCCCCCCTCATAAGCAGTTATCAGCCCAGACTGTCAGATCTAGTCCTGAAGTGGTTAAGTTTAAAACTAAAATGAGAATGCTTCTTTCAGGAACAGTTAAGGGCTACGTCATGTGGAAGTCATAAAGTCCATTTGAATCAGTGCATGTACCTACAGCACAGGTACAGCGGTTGCTTGGAGAACCTTGCAGAGGCGAATCTTGAGCTCAGGTGTGCTCTGTTCATCCTGGTTCCTCATCAGGGATGTTCTGGAGTGAGTGTGTTCCTAGCAAAGCAGAGTGCAAAATGAAAAACCCCGTTGTGTTTTCCCTGCCCTTGGGTTGTCTATGTATTTTGTCATTTGATAGTTAATGAGGAAGTACTTGAAGATTTGAAACATCTGATTTAGTTAAGATAGGCTTGTTTTGTATCATCTGAAGTTCTGCAATGTATACCCAAATAATGGAACAATCATTATTAGTTTTAGCTCTTATTGTATCTTTCTTAAAACCATGTTGTAGAGAAAGAACACAGGGTGACAAGGGACAAAATCTATTTAGGTACTCAGTTTATGAATCCTTCTTTTAACTGCTAGAATTAAATTAAATTCTGAGCTTCTTGATATGTGGAATGAAATATAATTATGCACATGCATAGTGTATTAAAACTATATAATAGCTCATATAAATTTTTAATAATGAAAAATATACCAAACCAGAGCCATCCCTAAAGAGTTTCCTCGTCTTCCTTTGTATCCTCTTTAGCTCCTTGCTGTAACTCCTGCCTCTTCCAAGCCCCTTCAGAGCTTGTCATCACCCTGCTCCATTTGCCCTCAACTTGTGCTGGGTCCCTATTGAAACTTGCCAAGTCCTGTGTTCCATCTCTGTAGGACAAGGACAAGGATTGGCTAAGGATTGGCTTGTCGGTCTCAAACACACTAACCTGAGAACACAAAAAGGTCAGGGGAGATGGGACCTGTCCTGAAGAGGTGTGCCTTCCATCTGCATCCTTTCTGACCTGTCTCGCCTCACTTGTGTGGCAGATGGCAAATATCATTAGGGCTCTTGAGTCCAGGACTTCACTGTATGAAGAAGGTTCAGAGTGCTGTTCACCTCTCCCCGCCTCTGGAGTTCCATACCCTGGGATCCACAGGGTAAAGAGAAGCAGAGGAACGGAACGTGCTCACCGCCTGGGCAGGCTGCCTGTAGCTTGCTCTGAGCTTGGCAGTTTGTTACTGCCCATTCTTGCCACAACTCTGGTGTGGGAGGAGCCTCAGCACTGGGGCGGGAGTTGGGAAGAAGACACCTACTGTCACATATCCAGTGTTAGAGACACTGGTAAATCTGCACACACATATGTATTAAAACTATACAGTCAGTTTTGGGACCATGCGTGTGTGTGCAAGGTGCTCTAATAGTGGTCATGCTCTGTCCAGTCAGATTAGTTACTTCTCCCTTTGGGGGCAGATTAAGACCTAGTTAGGGGAAGGCTACATGTGGTTCTTCCAGCTCTTCCTAACTGGGGAAAAAGGTAGCAGGAAGGCCCTCTGTCCTAGAAAAAGCCCCATCATCTGTTAGAAAATTCTAAATATCTAAACTAAAATCATGTTCCATTACATCTGTGGACTAGAACTGTATATAGGACACATTGTCAGCTGTTTTATAAGCTAACTTCAAGCTTCCCTTGTGAGAGGTGGAGATTCTAGGGGTCATTATAACTCTTGTTTCTTTCATGAGTGGCCATTTGAAATAATATTTAATGTAAAAATATTCTTGGATACTAAACTAGGCCTTTGACATGGATAGACTATATGAGTGATATATTGCATGGAGTAGTTCACGTGTGCTGTCTAAGTCATTAGCTTGCTGCACCTGTACAGCCCTGGACCTGGGATCGGGGCCCCTGAATGTCTGCATAGTTGAGTTGTGTGTTTCTGGGCTGTGTGATAGAGATGCTTTGTTCCTGCAGCTGGAAACAGAAGCAGCCATTCATTGAAAAGTTTAAGGGAGGAAGTCTCAGCCTCATTTTCCACACCAGCATTACTTTCACGGCTCATGGATCTGAAGGATTGCATTTAGAACACGTAGTACTGTTGCCCTCGGAAACTGTAGCAAAAAGTCACATTCTCAAAACTTCATGCAAGTTGTATTCTTATCGGAAATCAGTCCTGCAATTTCTTAATCGCCTTCACACTGTCGTATTTAAAGCTACAGTTCTTTCTGTAAGTGAATAATTAAGTGGAATTTAGCGAAGGAAACTAGAGACTTGTTTTCTTCCAAAGAGAATTGGAAATCAGTTTTATGGGTATTTTGAAATTAAAGTACCCTTTAACTTGTCATTATTCAAAAAGTGTTATCTCAAAAGTTTTCTACTGCTCAGGCACATATTCTGATAAAACCTTTTTGTTTGTTTACACTAAGATAATTTTTGCTGTTTTCCTGTTTTGGACTCTGTTAAAATTTGTATGCTTTTTATAACATGCCTTTTTAATTTCAGTTTTTAAAATTGGGCCTCTCAGGTGTAAAACATGGGAAGAATCATTAGCCACCAAGAATAGGCACACAGAAAAAATTCAGTGACTCACTTTTTGTTGACTGAGCCCCATCCCTGAGTGTTGCAAATTCAACAGAGTTCTGCTAGAGTGGTATATATCAGAATCAAGCTGTGTGAATCTAAAACTGTTGGCTCAAAGATTTAATCTACTGTAAAAGCATGAGCATACTTTGAAAACTTTAAAAGACTCATGCATACATGTCACTAGATAGCTTATTCATAATTTTAGCTCTTCAAGGTTTGTTTTTATTTAAAGGGTACAGAGTTTGGGACATGTTTGTACCAACTCAGCACGTGTCCTGGCCAGACAACACTGTACATGAGAGCTTAGATGATTAATATATGAACTCATTTTCTTGATAAAATATTTCTTCAGAACATTTCTTTTAAACTAAGATTTTCTGCCAAAATAAAGTTTTATAGTATCACACATATCTGATCTTTTGTATCTTGCAGAAAATTTTTTTACAGAGGAAAATGACTTGTGGCCAAACTTTCAGGATACTTGTCTTTTAGAAAAGCATAGCTTAAATTCATTGGCAATCTCTTGGTTTGAATTTGGTTTATTTATATCTTCATGGATTATATGCCAGCCCTGTTAATAATATTTAAGCCTCCTGTTTTGCCAGGGTGGTTAGATTTTTATTTCTTTCCAGTAAGTTCTTTTGTCTTAACCATTACATGATTGTGTTCGTGCTAATTATTTTTAATGCCAGTACAGGTGATGAAGAACATTATTCAATTAATTGGCTTACATTTTCAAGGGGTATTGTATATGGTAGTTTCAAGGTATGTGATTTGGTCTAGAATATATCCACATGCATATAATTATGGTATCAGATTATGACAGGATTCTCTTACTTTTACCTATGAGTAGTATTTGTTTCTCCCTGAATTGGGGAATGTTAATATTTTGAATTATAAGTGTCCAAATTATGAACAGAATTTACCTAAGCCAGACAAATTCTCTGCTACATTTGTATAATTTTTAAAAAATGTTTTATGAGGAAACCCTCTGAATGTTTTTATGCATAAGTGTCTAGCTGAAAACCATGGAAACAGTAAATCGAAAAGCACTTATTTGTAAGTAAACCAACAACTGCTGGAACATTAATCTGATACAAAGCAGTAATAATCTATATTACTTGTGAGTTTCTGGACCTGAAGACCTTAAAAACCAAAAGATGTGAATGAGAAAACAAATGTCTAATCGATAAGGAAATTATTTTTATTCCATTTACATGTGTCTCCTAAGATGGTTTTCACAATAGCCAGTCAAACTTAAAAATAAACTAAAACTAACAACATAGATTTTTTTTTAATGCTACGCTTAAGTCTGAAGTACTTTGTATATCTTATGGAATGGCTCACTTAAGTTTGCTGTGTTTCTTTATACATTTAAAATGTCCTTTTCTCTAGAGTTCTTCCCGTTTAAATGGATATCTTTCAACTTCTGAACTTTTTTTTTCCTGAGCATTCCAGTGATGCATTTTAGAAGAACACAAACTTTCTAGGTGGAAATACAGTTTTCCTTAAATCACAAACAAGTTACCTGTTAGGTTTAACATTATTAGTATTAGTATTTTTGCAGTTGATCATAGAAAAGAGTACGGAATAATGGTTTTCCTAAGATTTTTTTCAAATGTCTTCCTCAAGTTTGATCCAGTTACTTTCTCACATATTTTTAAACATATCATAAGCAATGGTTCCTTCAACTTATTTTTTTCTTCCAACATAGTACTTAGGAAAAATATTAATTACATTTTAAATAGTTGAAGACACACAAAAAGAAATCCTTTTAAGTTCATTGTTGCAGAGGGTAGGTATTTTGTGGTTTCCTGGAATTTGTTGTATCCTGTTGTTTTCTTCAAAAGGAGCATAACTTTTTCTTAAATACATTTCCATTCATAATTGCTTGGAAAAGATTGTCCTGTATAGAAAGACAGACATCCTAATTTGGAGACAGCACTACCTTAAATGCTTGCTTAAAGGTAAAAATAAGTCATTTAAAAAATACTCCATGTCCCTTGTAAGAATGTTTGTTTTACCATTTCTTCTTCCATCAACTGGCCATAAGTCAACATCCTTATTTCACTAGGAAGTTACTTTACAACACTAGGAAATTTTTTTACTTTCAAAACTGCATTATAGTGAATTACTGTTTACAAAATACACATACTGTGAACAGATACAAGTTATCTTTTATAAGGTTTGTAGAATGAGTGTTTTTTTTAAAGGTGGTGTTATGTTACATATTTTTAGTTTTTTATAAATACTAGTAACTGTTTACTAACTTCTGTTTGGTCAGGTGTGTGTAAATGTAGCTGAAGGAAGATAGAAACTGCATCTCCAAAACTGTTCCCTTTTTTAATTTCTTAAACGTTACCATTAGGACATTTTTTTTAAAACACAAATGATTAATTGTGATGTGCTATACCTAAAATCATGTGTAATCATATAAGGAAACATTTAAATGTACGTATACAGGAAGTAAACTATACATCGAAGTATATCTGAATGATTCACTCGGAATGGGAATTCTTTAGTATGAAATAAAACAATTCCACTTAACAGAGATGACAGCTGAAGTATTCCTTGCCTTGTGGAAATGTGGATATTATGTTCTGATAGAATGGGAAATTTGGACATTTTGTATCATCATATAATTTCAGAATTTAGTTTCCATATCTTTTGGAAAACATGATTATAGTAAGAACTTAGAATATAAATGAACTATTACTAAGACACCATAAATATAAAACTAGTACGCTTGGCTGTTAACTCTAAAGATGTTACTTATGTCTGTTTTTAAAACATGCATGTATTTAATAATTTTATCATAGTATTGTCATGGAAAAAATAAATATATTTTCTTACATCTTACCCTGACAGATTTGGGTATTATTGGTTTGGGATTTTTGTTTGTTTCCTCATGTTTTAAGCACTTAGGAAAAGTGAGCTTTGCTTTGTTGTATTTTTTGTGTTATGTCCCATAAGAATTAACAGTGGTTTTGAAGTAATCATGTAGAGTTACAGCTGTGTTTTTTAATACTGAAAGCCACTGCTTTGGTATTGGTATGACCTTCCATCTGTTACCATTTAGTCAGTATTCTATTTACCAGAGAAGTTAGCATAACAATAACCAAATACTGGTAACCCAGCATTAGCCAATATATCATACATACAGGCCCTTAAAAGTATGATTTTTTTAAATTTTTTTCTCCAAAAATAGCCTAAACAATTGTAGAGATTCTGGGAAGAGGTCACAATTTCACTTCAACTTACTGATTTGGAAACACAGTAATTGATTTAGCAAAACCTCGGTAATTTTAAAATATAAAATGATCTTAAATGGAAGTTCATAAAGGGAGAAATGAAGTCCTTCTTCATTTGCAGCTCAGCCTTACCAAGACCAACAACTAAAACATGAATGAGCCTGAATTTAACCTGCAGAAATGGCAGACAAGTTATAAATTAATTGTGAAACACGTGGTAGTGTTTAAATGCCAGAAAAACTCATACATGTGCTCTGTTCTTTGGGGAGTTCTCAGTGTATAACTTGTTTTCCAGGTGGTGGATTTTTGAGCCAAAATGTATAGCTCTGTCAACCCCAAGAACGTTGAGAAGGCCAAAAAGAGAAGTATGATGTGATTATTAAGAAAAGAAAAAACAAATAGAAATTTTTTTAAATGTGCAGTATTCAGCATCACACTAAAATGTTAGCAACAGAAGAATTCATTTTGAAGGGCCTGTTAATTTACTCCATTCATCTTTCCCTAGAGTGAACAAGAGTAAAACTGATTTTTAAATATTTAGTCTCCAAGCTCTAGGAAGTTTGAGGTAGCAAGAGATGTCTTGAACTGATTTGGGAGTAAGTTAGGATTAAATTTGGGATTAAATTTAATTTTTATCCCTGGATGATTAATCTCTTGATTATGGAGACAAGAAAAGCATTTCAATATTATGCTGCCAAGTGGAAATAATGTTAAAATGAGTGCAATCCCAAGTGGGTCTCTTATACGTATGTCTCTAAATACTTGAATGGTGAGAAAGAATGTCAAGTTCCAGCTCAAATTAAAATCACTTCTCTCCTCTTGCCCTTGTGGGAGCCAATCTCTCTCTTCCTATCTCCAGAGGCACTGGCACCCCTTGATGTATCCAGAGGAAGTAGTGTGGAGAGCAGATGGGCCCCCTGGTCCCAAATCACTCATTTGACAGTGCAGACAGTGTCCCCTTCAGGAACAACCTAGAGGCCAAGTTTTTCGGTATCCAAATTTGCTTTCTTGGTTTCCTCTGCTAACAGATGCCAGGTATCACATTCTTCCTGCTCCTGAAAGTCAGGTGGGTCCTGATTTCACCATCACATGGGCCATCTTGGGAGGGACTCTACCTGTTTCTCAGCCCTTCATCTCTGGAACACTGTTCTTAGTGCCTACCTTTGCCAGAGAGTTGGGGGGATTACAGACAGTGCACAGTGCTCCCCACTGGACAGATACCTGATTGTGACATTTGTGTCCATCCTGTGAAACCTCAGGGACACCACAGACCTTCAGATCAGCACCATAAAGGTGTAAATACCTGCAAACCAATTTAGACATACCTTAGATTCTATGGTTCCATTGCAAACGAGTGGCACAGCACACAGCAAAAGGCCTATTAGGTGACCCCTGGCATCTGTCCCCACAGGGCTGAAGGCTGGAGTCAACATTCCTCACTTAGGTCTCAGCTGAGCATGGCTGGCTCAGAGAAGCCTTTTCCAGTGCCCTCATGGTCTCAGGCCTTTAGCAGCCTTCTTATCTCCCCACAGCACCATGCACCATTCTGAAGCTTTATTTAGAAATTAGAATTGAAGGGCATCGTCACAAACATTCATGGAGTTTGACACAATATCTGCCATGTGTCAGGTGCTTAAAATTTTTTTTTAATGTGTCTTGAAAAAAGATAAGTGATCTAACATTTTCTGGTTATTAGAAAATTGTAAGAAATACTCTCCAACTATGGAAAGATGGGGGCAGGGAAGGAAGAGTCCTCAATTAAACTTCTGTCCTTGGAACAGAGTGAAGGAGCCCTGTGGAAACTTAGGGCAGATCTGAGCCATTGTGTCTTGATAGCAGGTGTTCAAGTATGTACTGACAGTTACCTTTTCTCTCCTGAAGGAAATTTGCCTTCATCCTTTTATCTCTCAGACAACAGCCAGTGGGGGATAAAATGCAATCAAAGAGTGACATCAGGTCGGAGCACATTTATATACTGTTCACAGTCACAACCCTGTCCCATCTCCTCTTCAGCTGGAATTTACTTTCATTCTCTAAGGGTCAAGTTTTCTGTGTACTTCCAACTTAATGGGGACAACTTGCATGACCAAGTGATCCACTTCTGTCCCAGCCTCTCTTCTCTCAATTTTATAGCTGTTCCTCCTGGAGTCAATCTTCAGAATGCCCCACATCTCCAACATCAGCTTTGTGGTTAGGTAAGCCCTGATTCTTTCCTTGAACACAACTGCTGTAGACTCCTGCTCCACCCAGAAGTAAAGCATATCTCTTCTCTATATAGAAAAACTCTTCCCTTGGCCCAAGGATCTGGGCCCATGGTGGGCCTCTCTAAACTTATAGTCAGACCTTACAAAGTTAGGAGAGAGCCCTCTGTGCCAGCTCCCAGTGAGGACTCTGACTGGCCTGGCTGGTCACGTGTCCATCCTTAGCCAATCCTGTGGCCAGGCCGAGGTCCTATTCCAAGGCTATTTTAATAAGAATTGGAGAAAGTCCAGTCCCCCAAAAGAAAGGAGTGATATCCTGAGTGGATAAAATAATAAAAACTCTTAAAGAAAAACAAGGAAATAGATAAAAAGAAAATTACATGATTTTAGCGTTTGTTCTTCACATTTTACTTTTTATAGACACTTTTCCTGTATGAATATATGTGTGATATGTACACAAACACTTACATAGAGGCATATTGTGCATATATATAAGAGAATAATAGTTGTATGTTCTAATTTGGAACTTGATTCTTCAGTATATTTTTTTTAATCTTTACATTATCAATGAATTATTTTTATGTCACTGTTCTATGAACATAAAAAATTCCAAAGCAACTGAATTACTTTAAGTCTGTATTCTGGGATTTTTTTTTTTTTTCATATTGCTCAGATTTTTTACCAAACAGTAGATAACTTTGAAAATCGGGAAAAAGTGTTTGGCAAGAGTGTGGTCAGAATGAAGGAACCACCCTCGAATTTCATTCTGGGTCCCTTTGGCACATTGTGATAACTCTCAAGGCAACCTTTCTGTGCCATAAAATATGGTCTTTTGCAACTAACTAATGAAGATTTGGATAAAGAGCAGAATTTTGCATACTTGGTGTTTCCTCTAAGATGAGGTGACCAACAGGAGCTGGGAGCAAAGGTTGCCCAAGGTCCATGCTCAGTGGCCATTGGAAAAGGCAGCTGCCTGACTCAGTTTCCGCAGTCCCTTGGGCACCCCACCAGCAACTATATTTCTTCTTAGGTCCTTAGTCATTGTCAAAGGTCCTTGGACTCAAGGTAACTAAAATTTTCAGGAACTATAAATAGGAATTTTAAAATAGTTTTATGCTCTGTGAGTGTAGAATTCCCCTACCCTATAAGTCTTTGACTCATCAGTCAGGGAAGTAGCAGACTGCAGCACATCCTTTAGTTGGGATCGAATATGACACAAGGTGAATTTCAGGAAAAATGTTTGGTTGCCAGTGAAGTATTACTTGGAAGTGGGAGAGACTGAAAGGAGAACTGGTAAGAGTTGAGGCAGGCAGGATTCTAAGAAGGCCCCAGAAGTCTTGCTCACTGATGTGGTGGGCTCTTGTGAGTACAGTGGGACATCCTCCCACAATTAGGTTACTATTAGTGGATTCAGAGCAAACAAAAAGGGAGACCATCCTGGATCTGGCTGGCTGAATCAGGTGAGCTCTTACAAAAAGGATGGGATCCCCCCTAAAGCTAAAGTCTCCACCTGGTTTTAAAGGAGTGAGTGGCCAGTGAGCTTGAAGAGGGTGCTCCGCCTGACACCTTGATCGGAGGAACAGCCTTCTCCCTGCTTGATATTCCCACCAGCTTCTTGACCAGGGGTTGCTTGGTGAATCACAGGTCCTCAGTAAATGTGAGGCGAATGTGGATGAGTGTCTGGGGAGGGGTAATGCAACGCTCCCGAGGATGCAGACTCATTTTCCTCCAAACAAACCCAAAGCCTTCAAGCACACACCATGGCTCCAGTTTTTCAGGCCAGCTGCAGTCAGTCATGTCACAGCAGATAAGACCCCCTAGTTCTGGGCAAAAGGCCTTATCACCCCAGCCCCATTGAGAAGCTGGAATGGCCGATCACTCAGGCTGCTTCTTCTTTGAGGTCATATGAGTGTGGCCTGGACAAGCAGCGGTGTTATCCATGTTCCACTCTGACAGTGACCCCACTTCATACCTCCCTCCCTAAGCTGCCCTTTGACCCCAAGTTCAGGCAGAACATGGAATGTCCTCTGCTGCTGTGGTGGGTGGGGCTGAGGTCACCAGCGGGGACTAGTGACCCTGCACTTTTGCTCCCCCAGGGCTCTCTCCATCTGATAGTTCACTTTTTCTGCCTTCACTCTCCTTTGGCCAATTTCCTAACCGGGCTTCCCTTAGCTCACCCCTTGGCCTGGCGCCTCTTAGTTTGGTTATTTAATGAATTTAAGTGGCAAATTCCTTGACCATCCCTGGCCTTCCTGCTCAGAGACATTCCAGTCCAAGTCCTCTCATGGCCAAGTCAAAGCCGCAGGCCCTCAGGACTAGGCTGTTGAAGGAAGCCATAGCCTTTGGTTGGGCCCCCGTTTAGAGGTGGACGGCAAGGACATGGGGGAAGGCCACACCACATGTCGGG